AGAAAAAGAAATTGCGACAAATCGACGTCGCAAACGCATTTCTCTACGCACCTGTAGATGCAGAAATCTTCGTCGAGCTCTCGCATGGCTCCCACGGCGAACCCAACCGAGTCTGTCAACTACTTAAATCGCTCTACGGGATCAAGCAGGCACCGCGACTGTGGCAGCAGTACCTACACGCCCGCCTCATCCGCATCGGTTTCAAACAACTCCCGCATGACCAGGGCATGTATCGCCTCACAAAGGGAAGCGACTACGTTCTCCTAATCGTCTACGTGGACGATCTCCTCTACATTGGGTCAACCGACGGCATCGCCACGTGGTTCGAAGGGGAGCTTCAGAAAGACCTCACGCTCACGGTCTCTTCTACGGTTACGCAGTACCTCGGGCTCAACATCCGCGAGGAAGAAAATGCAATCTATCTAAGCGCCGAGAAGTACGCCGACACCATCGCGAAACGCTTCGGCCTCACACCAAGCGCCATCTCCACGCCTTACCGCTACACGTCAGGAACCGAAAAGGGACGATCTACTCTACTCAAGCCCGCCGGCATACGCGACTATCAGAAGAAGCTCGGATGTCTTCTCTTCGCAGCAGTCACGTGCCGTCCCGACTTATCCTACTCCGCGAGCCAGCTCGCCACCTATCTCAAGAAGCCTGAAGTAGAGCATCTGGCGGAACTCGATCGCGCTCTCCACTATTTCGTCAGCACCGCGACGATTGGATTAACCTATCACAAAAACGCAACTACACCGACCAAGCTAATCGGCTACGTCGACGCCGATCACGCCGGCGACACCGATAACAGACGCTCACGCACCGGCTATGTCTACCGCCTCGAACCTATCGGTCCTATCTCCTGGCAGTCGAGTAAGCAGGAGTTAATCGCACTGTCTTCAGCTGAAGCGGAATATATTGCACTCTGCTCAGCCACCAAGGAGGGACTTTACCTTCGCGAACTACTGGAAGAAGCAAAGTTAGCCGAGTTACCCAGCTTCACCGTGTTCTGCGACAACCAGTCAGCAATTCGCATCGCCAACAAGAACGGCTTCGCAAACAGGACAAAACACATCGCCCTGCGCTATTTCTTCGTGAAGGACGAGATCGAAAAGGGGAAACTCGATCTGTCATACTGTCCAACATCTGAGATGGCAGCCGATTACTTGACCAAGAAGCTCGGAAAGCAGAAGTTCGAATACTGCATGATGCTGACTGGACAAGGCCACGTCACCTGCGGCGACACTCCAGAAGCGAAGGGGAGTGTTGGAAACAATAAGTCTTAGTGCGCTTCTGTCGTGTCAAAACCCAAGACACTAGCGAAGCAGTCCGAATCGAAACATCGAGTCAAACCTCGGAGGTTAGGGTAACCGCCTGGAGGTTACGAGAAATTCAAAGGTCAGCGACCTTTGACTCGACAATTACAGCGCGACAGTTAAGGACACACAACTGACTCGTTACAGAGCAGTTGCCCGAGTCGCACTGTATCGAATCGCAACAGCAATACAGTTATCTATCTATTCGTATTCCCTGTACCCTTATATAAGACCTTGTATTTGCTTGTTTAATTTAATCTACTTTGCTCTCACACACCAGTGCAAGGTCGGTTCACAAGTTTCATTAAACGCTTCCGCTATTACAAGTTTCCTACCCAGAGTTATCCTCTGCAAAGATCCTTAAGGGCCTTTTCAGCCCAACACGTACTAACTACATTACTCTAGCTAAAAAATTCAACTAAAACTTTCAAGTCAAATACATTAGACTAGCATCCTAGCCTACACAACATTTTTTAGTTTAGTCTAGCCTAAGGCCTACTCCTCATCCGACTCAGGCTCCGTGGAGTTGTTGCCAAAGAACCCGTCTGCTTGGATGTCGTCATCAACCTCTATCTCGTGGGATAGCTGACCTCTCCGGTGCGCCAGCACCAGTCCGTCTTCACTCCCGTCAAGGGCATTGCTGATGCCGCAGGTGAGGAACGCTCTCTTAATCAGGTCGGCGGGCACAGCTTTCCACGCCCGTGAAATCCACTTGAGCACCACCTCCGGAGATGGTTTCTTAATGTTCCGTGCACCACATACACGGGGGTGGGAAACACGTGGGTCCACAAGTAGGCAGACATACAGACGAAGCGGTCACGGGAGAACACTTTTGCGTACCTGCGGGTGTCAGGATGTTCATGCCGTCCTGCTCGAACCAGGTCTGGTACTGCTGCCGAACACTCACCTTGAAGCTTTTGTTGACCGACACATCGAGCGGCTGCAAGTCTGCCGTGCATCCCGCTGGGATGATCGCCGGCACGATGTTGAGTTCCGCGAACTTCGCCTTGACTTCGGGTGTCAGGTGTCCACGATAGGAGTCGAGCACTAGCATGGCGCTCCGGCTCTGCAATCCGAACTTCGGTTTCAGGAACGGCACCACGCCTGCACCGAGCCACTCGATTACGCCCGAGGCCTCCATCCACCCGTTACAGTAGCTTGGCAACCGACCATGACATCTGCATACAAGCAAGCGGTGGTTAGATTTTGCTTTTGTTTTTCCCCTCGAAAACAAGCGCATACGCAGTTTCTTACCGTTCGGAAAGTCACCCTTTGGGAGGGTCTTGCGCTTGAAAAACACCCACGGCTTCAACTTCTCGTCCGTCGCCGTGTACGCCAGCATCACAGTGACTCTCTCTTTCTGGTAACCACCACTGCGGATGGGCACCGACTTCACGCCCGTCTGCTCCACCGTGGTAGTCGCCGGCATCTCCAGCCACAAAGGCATCTGGTCGGCATTGATGATGTAACGATTGTCGATGTCGTAGTCGTGGCGTGCGTCGCGGACAAACTGCCAAAATTCCTTGCACTGCTTGGCCACGTCTGCGCATGGGGAGGGAGGAACGGTTACAAGGGCGGATGAGCACCGCTACAGATGAACAAACATGGGCAAGAAAGTACTGAAATGCAAGATAAAATTTCACGATAGGATGACAGTGCACGGACAGGCACTTACGCTGCTGTGTCTTTTGCGCCGCCTTTGTTTTCATGCGCACGGTGAGATTCCTCCGTCCAGCGCTGACTCGCCTTCCACTTGACGTCTGGGAACAACACCTTCATCACCTCTTTTGACCACTCTTGCAGCCGGCCGACTGATACTGCCACATCGCGGCATCGCCAGTCCAGGAGTTGGGCGTACACCTTCATCTCCATGGGTCTGTACCAGGAAGACCTTCCGCGCCCATGAAGTCGACACCGAGCACTGTGTGCAGCCTTGAGCTCCTCCGCTTGGTTTTTCCACTCTGTGAGGCATTTGCGGTGTATGCCGGACTCCCGCGCGACCTCGCTTACCGATGCAGCAAGCTCCAGCCGAACAAGCCACTTCAGTTTCTCCTGGGCGGTGTAGCGCTGCCGTTTGTGTTGAGTCGGCTTGTGCCTGGGAGAGGGGGGGCGGGCATCTCGGTTCTCAGAGGAGGGGTGGGGTCGTTTTTTGTTAATCGACGGATACATTGGTATCGGCATCTTCTCGCGTGGTGTGTCGCGCCACCAAGACTCCACACCGTCATCGTCCGCGTCTGTAGGTTCACGATCTGGGAACACGTCCTCCTCGGCGCCCTCTTCACCGTCGACTCCACCGTCGCCTCCAGCATCGCCGTCGCATGTGGGTTGTTTATCGACGGCCACGTCATCGTCGGCGCCCACAGCCGACTCGTCCCACGTGCAGGCTTCAGGATTCCCCCACCGAGGTGCAGTCGGCGGACCATTGATTTGCCTAGCCTTGGGTGTGTCCGGTTCAGACAACCACTCGTCGAAAGTGGCAGGCAAATATAGCTGGAGCACGGGCCGATGGTGACCCCACGCGTCAGGAATAGGAGGAGTCGGAGGATTCGAAGAAGCGGGAGGAGCAGGAGGAGCAGGAGGTGCAGGAGGAGCAGGCGGAGCAGGCGGTGCAGGGGGTGTAGGTGGCACTGGAGGCGCTGGTGGCTCACGTGTATACCACCCGTCCGAGGTTAGTCGCCAGGCGCGGGTTGGTTTCTTCTTGAAAAGGAGGTGCGTCCCAGTGAATTCCGCCATGGCTTTGCCAGCCAGGCGGGCTAGACTAGAAACTGAATGAAAAAAATGAGGGTGGTGCAGAAATGGGCAACGACGGGGACCCCTGCGGCTAGCGGCTCAGGGTCCTCGTCAATGCCAGGCAGGAAACCCCCGCCTACCCCCGTAGAGGAACCTGCGTGGCAGCATATTCGCTGCGCTGGCAGGGAATCTTCCCCACCCTTCGAGAGGGTTCGGAAGAAATGCAGATGCCACGCAGTGTATGCGGCTATGATTGGGCCGCACGGCAACATCCTCGTCACTCCTGTCACGTTCGATGGTTCTAGACAACTTTGTGCGGTGGGAAACCGAACCGCAGCTGTTTTTGCCTGAAAACCATGCACGATCCCACTTGTTCCATGGTCCGTTGGATTCGCCTTATTGCGGGCTTCAGTTTAGTATGTTTAAAAGTGAATTTCATTTTTTCCTTATTATAGGCGCATGCGCGTATACAGACACCTCAATTAGAAGCGCACCCCCTCAAAAAACACTGTTTTATTATAAACGCAGCGCTTTTATCCGGGGTAATACGGTACAAGGAATTATTTTTCAACCTGCGCTGTCAGAGGTTGCGCTCGTGAGGTTCCAGCCACGGCAGTCCCAAGAAGTCAAACACTGCTCTCTCACTCCCGCATGAAATTGACTTGCCTGCTGCTTTGCCTGGTACCTGTTGGGGGGTGAGGGGTGGGCACAGCATGTCAGTGGGTATCCTGGCAACCGAGTTGACTCATACTAAATCAATTGGGAATGACATGGAAACAATTACAATGGGGGTGATGGGGTAAGGATAGTATGTGTGCAATCCTGTAGGGGATGCGAGGCATCAAGACTGTGGGGTTGCAGTGATGCACACAGCATGTGATGGGATGGGAGGGATGGGATGGGAAGCATGTGACACAGCATATTGCATTGCATTCTTTGGGTGCCTCAGAAACCGTCTCAACTCACAGCATTGCGCAGCACGAGCCCATGGTCGTCCAATCGGTACCCCTTCGCCTCTGCAAACAGCCGCATGCTGGGTGGATGGGGGGCATGCATGGGTGGGTGCGGGACACGTCACAAGTGTGGAAGAGGAGAGAAAAGGGCATGAATGTGCATCGCGCAGCACGAGCCCATGGTCGCCCAGTCGGTACCCCTTTGCCTCTACAAACAGCCGCATGCTGGGTGGGTGGGAGGCAAGGGGGGCATGGGTAACGGGCTTGGATGTCAGAATGTGTTGAGCCACATCCTCTGGATGCTCTTACTCTTATAATGTTTTTTTTTTTTTTTTTGTTCTGTAACGATTCATTCGATTCAACCTTGTAACTGCCAACCTGGAGATGCCTGCGTATTGCGCAGCCATCCCCGCCCGTAACAAACAACTTGCAATACTGGCCATCCATTCCGATCTTCCCACCTTCCTTGCTGCCTATTGCTGCCGTCTAACCATCTTAGCCGTCCATTCCAAGCCCCCCACCATCCATCCCACCATCCATCCTACGATCCTCACCGTCGATTGAGCACATCGTTGCCCGTCCACTGTATGAGCCCAAAAGGGTACTGCTCCCATGGATACACCTGCAAGTTTATTAAAACAAAAAGCATATAACACATAACATAAGCACCCTATGGGTACACCACAATCCACATGGTACAAGGCGAAATAAAATCCTATCCCATCCGCAAACCAGCAGTCAGTGGGCAATGCGATCTAGGAATTATGCGATCTAGGAATTATGCGATCTAGGAAATACTGTACCTTGAAGTCAATGCGGTGCCGTTGTTCCCTGCCTGCCTGCTTGCACAGTCCAAAGTAAGTGTCCACGCCCTTGCCCTCACCATGCGGCTGTTGGGGTTTGGAGAGAGGGTCGTAAAGGAGGAAAAATAGGGGGTAGTGATACCAGTGGCGAAGCTCCCTCCAACGCCTGACCTCCCATGCTCCCTACACCTCTCATGCTCGATTAGTGAGAGCGCATCACCTGCTACGAGTGGTGTGTGCTGACCACCAGATCCGCTGTTAGAAACCCCAGGAGCTTCAGTAGACCCATCAGCCTCTCCAAAGCTGCGTTCCTCCAACACCCACACAACCTCACAACCTCACAACCTCACAACCTCACAACCTCACAACCTTGCAACCTCACAACCTCTCAACCTCACAACCTCACAACCTTGCAACCTCACAACCTCACAACCTCACAACCTTGCAACCTCACAACCTTGCAACCTCGCAACCTCACAATCTCACAATCTCGCAACCTTGCAACCTCGCATCACCTGTTGCGAGTGGTGAGTGCCGACCATCAGGTCCTCTGTCAGGAAGCCCACGAGCTTCAGTCGACCCACCAGCCTGTCCAAGAAGCCGCGGTGGCTGCGATTACATGTGAGGGCGATGTGGAGGGGACACAGCGGGATGAGATCGGAAGGAGAAGGAAAAGGAGGGGACCACGAGGGTCCTCTGTCACCAAGCCCCGATGACTGTGGTGAGATGAGAGGGAGATGTGAGGGTGGGGGCGTGGCGCACAGCAGGATGGGATCGGGAGGAGAAGGAGAAGGGGGGGACCACCAGGGATTCTGTCACCAAGCCCACGTGATTTAGTCAAGAAACCGACTTCTCCAGAAACCCGCAGTGGCTGGAGCGTGGCATAAGCGGGGGATGTGGTGGGGACACAGCGGGATGGGCAGGATACGGAGGGGACCACCATGCCTTCTGTCACCAACCAAGCCCACGTGCTTCAGTCGACCCACCCACCAGCCTCTCCAGCAAGCCGCAGTGGCTGTGGTGAGGTGGAGATGTGAGGGAGGAGTAGAAGTTGCAGGAAGGAAAGGATGCATTGTGGGAGGTGGAGCGGATACACACACACACACACACCTATTCACCTTCTGCGGTACAGACCACATCCACCACACACTCATGCACCTCTACCCGCACACACTCATGCACTCCTACCCGCACACACGCACACACACACCCACACACACTCTCCCTCACACACACACACACACAAACACTCACACACCTTGTGCCATCGGGATGTGTGATAATGAAGTCCATGTCGCCTGACGTCGCCTTGCCCCGACAGCACTCCCTGTCAGAAATGATGGGCACATGCACGTACGCCTCCAGCTCACACCACACCCTCTCCCCTCACACCCACCTGGCACCATCAGGGTGTGTGATGATGAAATCCATGTCGCCTGACGTCGCCTTGCCCCGACAGCACTCCCTGTCAGAAATGATGGGCACATGCACGTACGCCTCCAGCTCACACCACACCCTCTCCCCTCACACCCACCTGGCACCATCGGGGTGTGTGATAATGAAATCCATGTCGCCTGACGTCGCCTTGCCCCGACAGAACTCCCTGTCAGAAATGATGGGCACATGCACGTACGCCTCCAGCTCACACCACACCCTCTCCCCTCACACCCACCTGGCACCATCGGGGTGTGTGATAATGAAGTCCATGTCGCCTGACGTCGCCTTGCCCTGACAGCACTCCCTGTCAGAAATGATGGGCACATGCACGTACGCCTCCAGCTCACACCACACCCTCTCCCCTCACACCCACCTGGCACCATCGGGGTGTGTGATGATGAAATCCATGTCGCCTGACGTCGCCTTGCCCCGGCGATACGACCCGCCACACACGATGGCGATCTGCACACATGCGTGTGAGGGGTATGAGCGGTATGCATAAACATGACTAGCCACAAGCAGAACCCCTGGCAGCACTCACTCCTGGCAGCACTCACCCCCGGCAGCACTCACCCCCGGCAGCACTCACCCCCGGCAGCACTCACCCCTGGCAGCACTCACCCCAGGTAGCACTCACCCCAGGCAGCACCCACCCCTCGCAGCACTCACCCCTGGCTGCACTCACCCCTGGCTGCAGCGCCTCTCCTTCCTTCACCACCAGAGCTGCCATCGCCGCCACCTCATCCCTCGGGATTCGCTTGTTCATATCCTCGTGGAACCGCAGCGCGATCCGCTGAGTTGGCGTGAGGCCGGGATCGCCCGCCAGCTGGCGAAGCGAGCGGTGGCCGGCTGAGTAAAATCGGCGGGCGGTGCGAGGCCCCACGCCCCAGACCGTGCCAAAGAGAGCGAGCGTGCGGACCTGTGAGGGAGGCAGAGGGACAGAGAAGGAAGGGAGGGTACGGAGGGAGAGGGAATGCATGAGAGGTGCTGCAGCGATCAGTGGAAGGAAGAATAAACATGGCGGCCTTGCATAGGTGTGCGCAGCATATGCATGATTTCTGAGACGTCTAAAAACAGAAGTAGCCGTGGCAGTCGTCCGTGGGGACGAGGGCCTGTGGGTCGCAATGGCAGCAGTGGGGGCAGGCAGGGAGCAATGATCCTGCCTGCCTGTCTCACTCACTCCTCCCCTCCTCTCCCAATCATTTCGTCTCATACATTCACCTCACCATGTCGTCGGCTTGATACGCCCGCAGCTTCTTGATCATGCTGTAAGACAGTATCTCCTGAATCTGCCACGTGGGTGGCAGCATGCATGCACGTGGGCAGCACCATGCACACATGGACACATGCAAAGAACAGGCTTAGAAAAAACGCGGCATTCAGGAAACACGAAAAGTCAACGGGATTTAAACAGGCGTTTGTCTCCCACAACCAGTATCACCATCCCCCTCCCCCCACGTCTTCAAACAAGGGAGCAAAGATTACACCTTCCCTCTCTCTCCCTTGCCCTACAAGTCCCCCCTCTATCCCCGTTACCCAACTTCTTCTCGCTCCCTTTGTGCTACACATCTCACCATCCATCCCCACAATCCAACTCCCTCGCCACTCTCCTTGCTGGGCAGTCACAGCCCGATGCCAGGCAGCTTCAGCACCAGGAGTCGCCCTGCAATTCCCTCCTGGTAACCAGCTTTCACTCACCTTACCCTGCAGTGAAGACCCTATGCTGGGCAGCCCCTGCACCTGCTGGGCTGAGCGGATGCGGAAGGGCAGCTTCTCAAGCACGCTGAGCGCCTTGTAGTAACTGAACCAGCGCCACTCATCGCCCAGGCCTGGGGGAGCAAATGGGGGGAGAGGGAAGACGGAAGAGGGGGAAGCGGGGAAAGAGGGAGGGGAGTGGAAAGAGGGCGGCTTCTCAAGCACGCTGAGCGCGTTGTAGTAACTGAACCAGCGCCACTCATCGCCCAGGCCTGGGAGGTGTGACGGGCATGGGGAAAGCAGGGGAAAAGGGTGGAAGAGGTGCGATGAGAACAGAAGGGCAGCTTCTCAAGCACGCTGAGGGCCTTGTTGCAGCTGAACCACTGCCACTCACCGCCCAGTCCTGGGGGGGGGGGGGGAAATAGAGGGGACTGTTCCGGATGTGGATTGAAGGGCAGCGCCTTGAGCGCAAAAAAGGGGGAGTAGAGCCACCACCCCTTGTAGATACATGATACATCCCACCGCCCCTTGTAGATACATGATACATCCCCCAGCGGAAGCACACCCCGCCATGCCAATCCCACCACGCAACACACCCCTTTTCACCACGCTGCACCACACCGAACCATCCTTGTAGATGTTGTTCAGCTCATTCATCTACCCATAGATGTCTCTATTCAGGTCGGGAGGCAGGTACAGCCCCCAGCAGAAACACACTCCGCCATACCCATTCCACCGCACACCACACCCCTTTGCACCGCTCCGTACCGTCCTTGTAGATGTTCTTGAGCTCGTTCATCTGCCGGCAAATCTCCTTATTCAGGTCAGGCGGCAGGTACAGGCCTCGGCAGAAACACCCGCGCCCTCGCAATCGCTCCCATCCCAATGCCCTTTGATTCTTTGGGACTGAGGCAACCCCAGGAACTGAAGCGACCCCTGAGACTTGCGATTCTTGATGCGAGGCATGGCATGAGGCCTGATGCGAGACCTGTTGTGAATCAAGCTGTGAGTACTGACACGTTTGTGAGGCTTGCTGTGAGTCTCTTTGTGAGTCATTTTGTGAGACCTGCTGTGAGTTCTGATGCGCTTGTGAGTCCCCACACGGCTCAATCAGCTCAGACTGCGACCCATCTCGTTGCCCGTGCGAGCCCGCACTCTCATAGCTGCACGGGAATCCCTGCAAGTCCTTACATGTGCCCTCATAGCTGTCAGGCTGCTGTGTCTCCCCCTCTCTGCTTCCCCACTCCCTCCCCACCCTGCTTTCCCTCTCCCTCCGCTCTCTGCTTCCCCTCTCCCTCCCCTCCCTGCTGCTCCCCTCCTCTCGTTCCTCCCTGCCTATCCTGTCATCCTCTGCGTTTTCACCTGACTCCCCTTCCGTCAGACCCTCCCTCCCCCTCTGCACTGCTTCCCCACGCCCCTTCTCCGCCTCATTCTCTCTCCTGTCCTCTTTCTCATCCTCTCTCTCCCCCCCCGCCACGCAAAGCCCCTGGGTGTGACCCAGCACCTCCTCACCCTCCCTCGCACCCTCCCTCCTCCCCTGCGCCACCTCCTCCCTCCGACGCTCTTTCTCATCTTCTCTCTCCCCCCCCGCCACGCACAGCCCCTGGGTGTGACCCAGCACCTCCTCCCCCTCCCGCACCAGCTGGATCACCCGCCCAGACAGACCCATGCCCCCCACCCCATCAATCTCCTCATCTCCGCCTCCCCCCTTGCCTCTCTTTCCCCCCTTCTCCCCTTTTTCCCCCGCCTTCCACCGTTTCCATTCCGCCCCAAACCTGTCTGTACCACTCACGTACCTCCGCTTCCCCCCTCCCCCTCCCCATCTCCCACCCCCTCTGCCTCCTCCCCCCCATCCCCTCTTCCCCCCATAGCCTCCCCCACTCCCCCCCTTGCGCCCGTCCCCTTCCTCCTCCCCCACAAGTGCCGCCCAGGCTGCACTCTCAACTATCACCTCCATCCAAAACGCCTTCTCCTCCTCAGAAAGCTCCAAACCCTGCCGCCCACCTTTGACGGCAGCACGACCCGCCGCCCCATTTCCGTCCTCCTCCTCATCACTCCCCTCGTCCTCCTTCCCTCCTATCCTCCCCTCCGGCAACTGCTGGGCCAAGGTCAACCCCGACCCTCCCCCAATCCTTTCCTCGTCCTTCCATTCCTTCTGCCCCCCACCACTCCCCCAACCTCCCTCATCTCTCTCCGCGCTTTCTTCAGCATCCACGTGGCCACTCCTTATTCGATCAGGAAACCCCCGGCTATCCCGGCTGGCAGGAAAATCAGACTCAAAGGAGCTAACTCCCCCAACGCATGCTTCTCCGCCCTGCTGTGACTGTCGGCCAGGTGAGGCGTTGTGTGAGGCGCGGAGCAAGAACTTGGCTTCGGGAAGGCGCGACCCGTGCTTGAGACAGCTCTCTATCCATGTGAACTCCACCACTGTCACCTGCTGGTGGCATGTTGCGGAAGAAGCACATGCACGGGGAAACAGGAAAATGAGGGCTTTTGAGTTGACTCAGAGAAAAAAACGCGCAATCCCTGCTTAAGACGGCTCTCTATCCATTCAAACTCCACCTCTGTCACCTGGTGGTGACAGGCCGAGGGAGCAGCGAACATAAGAGAAATGAACGGCAAAAACAGGGTGAATCAGCAATGTGTTCTGGGGGACAATGGACAAGAGCGAGTCCTCTTCTCACAATGAGTCAGAGTTCTAAAGGCGACGGGCCATTCAACCTCCACTTAACCCCAGAGCTACACCTTGGTGTACAGTCACTCACATTCCACTCATTCCCAAAGTAACACCTCGGGATTAGCGCTGGATAAAAGTCCAATCACTCACCCCTGGTGGTGGGGTTTGCCACGTGGTGGCTTGCTGCACTTTCCGCCAATCAGCAGCCAGCACGTGCGTGACACGTGGCTCCGTGGGGCTTGCTAGGAATTCCCCCCCTAATTGCACAAGCTTCCGCTTCCACACCTGGCGGAGGGATCCCGAAGCAGGGGAGTAGAGGGGGTAGACGGAAATGACGGGTGGAGGATGGAGAGAGAGAGGGGGGGAAAGGGGAAACGATATGAGAAAGAGGGGTTTCTCGTATATGTTGTCGTTACTAAAGCTCTTATGCTATGAGAAAATTTATGCAAACGCCAGATATAAAAAAACGGTCTGGCTCCGTGCAAGCGTTAACAACTGAATCGATCTTTGATTCTGAATCTTAGCTGCGCACTCCGTTTCATCTCCCAGCCAGGGTTTCTTTTGGGTAAACGAGTCAAGCGAATCAGGTTTGTGAACATAGGATTAGAATCTGGAAAATGCCAACGGCCCAAGCGTGCAACAGCTTTGTCACCTGGATCCGCGCTTTGTGCACTCCGCCCTCTATGAAGCACGCATGCACGCCCTGAAACATGAGACTGCAAACACGAGGCGGACCGACGTAGCGAGGGTCAACGCAGGCTCTACGGGTTACAAACTCGCGACGATGAATTCGATTGAAGCTGAAGCTGTGAAGCTTGGAGAAGGTCAGTGAAGCTGTGGATGATGTGAGAGCAGGAACGCAGGATTTGGATAGGTTGTTATTATTGGAAAGGAATTGCTGATGTTGCGTCATTGTGACGAGGAAAACAAACCCTTTGCAAACTAACCCCTTACCAGCACTTCCGCACGCAGTGCCCAGTAAAATCTACAAATCGATGCTGGTTCGAGCCCTTGGGTAAGGGGGGAAATGAACTTACAACGGGAGTATACTGTAACTGAATGTAAACATTCTTTTCCTTTTCCTGAATTATATAAGCAGTAATTTTATCGTCGTACAATGTCGGCTGATGCTGAACATCTTTCCCATGAGGATGGTCTTGGATCAAGCCTCCACGTTGTAGGGTGTAGACGAAAGCATGCCCGAGTGTTATTGGGTGCAAACCTGACACCAAACTGCCTAGGGTAATATCATTCGGATGGCACGAAGAGCTCAACTCTGATATTATATGTCAGGCGGTGGGCTCGCCATGTCAGCTTTCCTGCCTGGGTGGTCCATGTGGCAAATGGTTTCCACGTCATTGCTATTCTGCCCTGAACCTCTCCACGTCCTCAGATCCTCATTCACCTATCCCACCATTCTAGCCCATCATCTCTCGCCGGCTCTTCCACCACTCCTTCGCCAATACCCCCAGCTTCCACCATCTCCTGTCAATTGACCTCATCGCATTTCATCATCGGTTCGTGCGGTCTTTCACTCACAGCTCCAGACCTTTCTTCCCTGTCCCAGTTTTTCTACTTTTCTAACCAACCATGGCCTCCCTCGCCTTCGTTGTTGCCCCCACCGCTCCTTGCGGTCTGAGGCGGTCAGCTGCCTTCTCTCAGTCCGTGAAGAGCGCCGTGACCGTGCGCGCTACTCCTGCCCGGTCTTTGAAGGTGTTCGCTAGCTCGCAACCTGAGCTGGACAAGGTCATTGAGGAGAAGATTCAGGCGGCCAAGGACGTCTGCGCAGACCCGAACTCGGGAGCTGCGGAGTGTGCTGTTGCGTGGGACGAGGTTGAGGAGATCTCTGCCGCTATTTCGCACAAGGAGGCCCAGAAGTCTTCCGACCCCCTTGAGCAGTACTGCGACGAGAACCCTGATGCTGACGAGTGCCGCATCTACTCCGACTAAATGTATTTAAATTGAGTACGGGTTTCCCTGTGTTCATTGACTATAGTGGAACAACCTTCGCAATATCTTTTTCCATCCCGCACTTCTCCCACCTAAGTCTTGACATCGATAGGTGGCAGTTACACTTAATCTTGTGGCAGTTTGGACATGGCTAGATGTCAGCTACATATCGAAACACGACTGCTGCGTCGACGCCTACAGGTGGACTAAACTTTCGAAAGAAGCAGGGAAAATATAATGAAATATGTACAAAATTTACAATATTCACAACCACATTGCTACCGTCATTCGTAGCGGAACTAATTACAGCAAATGAACATGTTATAATGTACACTATTTACGGCACAGTGCCCACCTCTGATATTTCACAAGGAGGCCATCTGTTGGATGTACTGACTGGAGTCGGCCCTCAACAAAGATAGTATATGCATCTGCAACATACCTGGTGAGTACGGCAGTGTCAGACAAAATTGAGAAAGTCGGTGAATCAAATCAGATAACTCAACCCACATACGTACCTGCCAACTCCTGGGAGGTCAGTTATCTGAGCCCAGTTTCCTGATGAGAATTCTCGGGTGAAAATAAGTAAGTGCTTAGCCCAGCTCTCATGAAAGCCTGCACTGCATACGATTTGTTGCAGTGTTTGGATGTCAGAAGATAAGACGTCATTTGCTGAGGGAAGATTCTGAAACAACCTCCTTACTCCAAGCCGCACCTGCCATGATATGCCACAATATTAGTTGCGACTATGACATTGACCAAAACGGACTGACAACCGCAGAACATACCATGTGAGAAGGATGACCTTCCAGAAGCATCGACGCGACCAAGAGCTTCCAGGGATCATGAGTGAGTCCCTCTTGGATAAGGTTGTAAGGAGAAGCACTGGGATTTTCCGGATTCCTAACCGTTCCAAGTGGAAGCTTCATGTGACGACGAAGTGCAAGGTCAGAGGTTGTGTTGTTCTCCTCCTTCCCTGCTTTAGGTGGAGACTCATCAGAGCCAGGACTTGCTTGGCAGCGCCCTTCAGAACAGTCACTAGACGAACTAGATGTCTTGAAAGAGGACCTTGACCCAGCTATCTCAGGTACGCACAGTCTCAATGCTGCCGCGACAGCAGCTGCAACTTTCTTGTCTGAATGCATCCTGTCATGAGTACCCAGAGCAGCGAGTCTGCTGGCTGAAGGACCAGCAGATACACTGTACAGCTCTGCTTGCAACATGTGCGGAGTCCCAGGACTTGTTGATGCCTTGCTGTCTTCGAAACGCCGCATCTGTACATCTTTTGAGAAAGACGAAGTCGCATCATCCTCCTTGCTGCTACCAGGTCGAAGTGTCTCCAGCTTCTCAATGGAGACTTCGCTTGTACAATGCTCATCAGATTCCAAACCAGCAGCTGATACACTCATTCTATGTCCATTAATTACAGGAGGCTCAGCTGCTGTTCGCGGAAGAACACATGGGCTGACTGCCTTGCATGGGGAAGATGGCTCAATTAGCGGGCTGAAATTAATGCCCGAATCACCCCTTGATGGAATGCCTTTGCGAGAAAGCTTTCGCCGAACTGGAGTGTGTGGAACAGACGCCGAGCGAGGGGAGATTGAATCTTGCAGTCTTCCAACAGAAAATAAGCGCTCATTAGCAGGTGAATTGCTCACATCTTCCCCCATGGCATATTGAAATGCGTCTGCTGACCCGGAAAGCCTCAGTCCTGGCTTCGGTTGCCCACCCTTAAGTCCGATGTTTGAACGGCAACCCAGAGTGCTATCCTGCATCTGGTATGTAAAGCTCCTGGACCCACGAATCCCAGGAAATGGCAAATGGCTGTCATGCAGGAACGTTGGTTGCTGCTCCTCATCAACAGAGTATCTAGGCAGCTTGTGCCTAGTTGGAAGTTCCAAGTTCTCTTCAACTTGATGTGGCACAGCATGCACATCCTGCAGATAAAGGAAAAAGGATATGAGATGCTGTGATAAAAAAATCAAAACGACAGACATATCATGAAGTCAAGTCGTACTGTCTCTTTTTCTCTTCGAGCAAAGGCTTGTGAATGGCACTCTTGAAGAACGTCCTTGGATCTAGCTGCTGAAGAGTCGCGCTTGAAAGCCGACCTGCTCTTCCGAGGGGTCCAAGGCAGCTCAGTGGGAGATACGTGTTCGTCTTTCTCCTCAGAACTATTAACGGCTGGTTGATCATCCGATGCAGGGAGTCTCGGATCTTGAGAGGTCACAGAGTTTTGCTGCTGTGGAGGCGTTGGCACATCACTTGAATCCGATGGCGTATGGGAATGCGAATCCTCCTCCTCCTCTTCCTGAAGTGAGAAATAATGTATTAGGTTAGTATGATAGCCGAATCAAGGGGTGCCTCGAACGCATCCAGAAATAGCACCAAAGGCACAACCTTCTTTAGGATAGCGCACAGGCCGAGAGCGCCTTCATATGCTTCATCATCTTGAGGAATGCCTGCCAGCGAAAAAAAAGAGTCAATGAGAACGTGGATTCAAAAACAATAAGACGGTCAAGTCTCACCATCACCCACTTGATGAAGCTCTTCCGATGTGAGACACCCCAGGAGTAGAGTCGTCATCGGCATGCGAGGAGCCACTAATGTGAAGGTCTTCAATTCCCTTACCAAACTCGAATCCACTGGTTCCCTCCCTGCACGACACGGCAAGAAAGACTCGGTTACATCACCTACGGCAAGTCCGACCATGCGCGGGAACTGCAAGCACAGTTGAGACAAATGAGAAATAACCTGTGCTGGTTTTTTCCTCGTCTCTGCCTTCCGTCCTTGCTTCTTCTCTGAACACATTTGTTGCAAGGACACACATCATCACACCTGGCCACAACGAATACAGGAAAGAAGCATTACGTCATAGGCTAGGAGGCAATACTAAGCTAATCAAACATGGTGGATCCCGCGGAGCCCAAAGCAACGAGGCATAGTGAGTTTTTCTGGATATGTAAATTTACCTTGGACATCGCCAAGTCCCCCTTTTGGCTGCCATAGATGCTGCTGCTATAAACGACAGATTTTTGTGGAGCTTTGTGAGGATGCACCTATGGCACCACGGCCCATGTTTAGCTCCACCTTCACCTTGCGACGCTCCACATGGAATTAGCTCAGCGGTTGGTCTCTTTTGCCGGCAACAATGACAATGCTTTCCCAGGCCCCTGGGAGCAGCATGCCTCACCATTTCTACCTATCTTATCGTATTTCTACAAAAAGGCACGTGAAACGTGGCTAACGCAAATGACGGAGCCTGGAATTCGAGAAGTAAGTGAACGCATTACTATCACACTGATGCTCGGCAACGTCCCAATAACGGTAAGTGTCTATCGAATCAGCCAGTCCACACTGGAAACATGGAACCTAACCAGCTCTGAACACCCTGGTTAAAGGGTGTGCCTGGTCCATAGATCAGGCTGACCATTGAACTGGATAAAGAAGCCCACCCACAACACTCCTCCAGCACCTGCTGAAAGAGCAAACCAGGGCTTCATGAGCAAGAGCCATGTGTCGTCCTTCCGACGATGGAGAAAGCCAGCAACCGCCTTCGTTTCCGTCCGTGCGCTAGACCATCGTCTCGAGAAAATTCCTCACTGACCTCTTCCTGAACCGAGTGCAAACATCGGAGTGGCTCAAACAGCTGGCTATGGCCAAAACCTGGGTTTGGTCTGCCTTCATCAGCCTCGGAGAGCACGTGGCCCGCCTTGGTGGCTTTGGTTGTGCTGGGCTGCCCGTCGAGGAAAATATACCTGTGTTGAGCTAATTTGAGAGATGACATTGGTTCGAGTTAGTGAAATTCTTTCAGTCTCTTTGAAACCATACCTCTTTTTGAAGCTGGGATCCCTGCTTCGGCAGTAATCTAGACCAATCTGAGAAGTTTAAATCCTAAAGGCCTGGAAAACAACACCCAATCAAATAGCCTCTCTGGTATGGCAGTGGCATGAGGCTGGCGAAGCTGAAACGGTGAGGAGAATTTGGCCTCAACCTCGCCCATCCGAGCCGAGTTCTCCGCTTTGGCATGTCGGCCCAAGCAGACAGGTCTGATGCGTGTGAACGAGCTTCGCCACGTCAGTGAAAGGCTTTTCTTGTGTGAGGTGACGTCAAGGCATGGCGGACCTGCCTCTCTGACTGGCCAGCAGTATGTTGATCTGCCTGAAAGTGTCACCATCGTTTTTGGAACATCCACCAACTTTCACCCTCCATGGTATGGATGCTAGAACAGCATTCCGTTCATGTATATATATGGGATGTATATGGCATGTATGAACAGACATGGAATTCAAGCAACACAAAGCTGAGCTGCCTCTGTGCTGTGGCCTCACTAAATATCCTCACATACGCAGTAGTCAGAGTCGGCTAGGTTTCCCCTTTTTGGTATCGTGAGCGTCACTTTCGTCTAGTGCGTATCTTTCTCTCAGTCCATTCCCTTCATGACCAAACCTTGACGGAACGCGAAGTGCGTCGTTGCATTTCTTGGTCAGGCACATAACGACTCCTAATGTTGTTTCATGCTAGAACTCAGCTAATTCAAGTGAAACCATTTTTCGAGAGATCGCTCAATCTGAAGACTGGATTGCGATCACTGGGCGTTGCAGTGGCACCTAAGTTGCCCGCATTTGGCTCACTCGATCAATTCGCGTGCATGTCATTCCGTGGTTCCATAGCTCCGAATGTCGACGATTCATCTCTTCAAGCCCCGTCAGGGGGCATGCTCCATGAGTCCAACGCGGACCGAACGAGGCTTTCGGGGGTTGGCGGAGGCTGTATTCAACAGCAAATGGGTGGCTTTCAGCAGAAGCTGGATACTGAAGGGGGTGTCATCGAGAGCAATAGTCGTGGTGGCAGCAGGAGAGTGGCTGTGGCGCAAATGACAGCTGTTGGTGATGTTGAGAAGAACTACGTTACGTGCAAATTGCTTGTGGAGGTAGGCCTCAACAAGCAATTTGGGGAAGCCACAAGTGCGCATCGTTATCATGATAATCTTGCACTTACTGCTCTGCTCTTGGTCTTGCTCTATTCTGCTCTGAATCTCACGCCAGCAAGCAGCTGCAGCTGGTGCAACCCTCCTGTGCCTCCCTGAGTGCTTTTCCTTCATTGGTGAACGGGATGGTGAAGCTGCTGCAGTTGCTGAGCCACTAGATGGTCCACTCATGAGCAAGTACTGCCAACTGGCACGGTAGGTTTGATACCACGACAACGTTGAATACGTTTCAAAACCAGGATCAACATCAGATGCGAGCAATCACCCTTCTGGACAAGCAAGCATGATGTGCAATCATATCTTATGCCTACGCCGCCATATGCCGTCTTTTTTGTGGCTTGCAGAAAATTCTCTATCTGGCTATCTTTGGGAGGATTCCAGGAGGCAGGAGATCCTGACGCAGGCAGACGTTTCTTCAACACTCACGTGCTTGTGGATGACACAGGGAGGATTCAAGCAGCTTACAGAAAGATTCACCTGTAATGAAACCCTCGTTATCTTTTGGCGGTTCTGATTACCCAGTTTTTCTCAGCTTCATTCTTTGCACGTGTACCCCCCTAACATAACACTATGCTGCTGAACCAGGTTCGATGTGAATGTTCCAGGGGGACCAGTCCTGACGGAGAGCAACAGCACACTACCGGGATCAAGCGTTGTCTCTGCTATGTCTCCTGTTGGCAGACTTGGTTTAACCGTTTGCTATGATTTACGCTTTCCGGAGCTCTATCAGCGGCTCCGGTTCGATCATCATTGTGATGTAAGTCCAAATAATCAAGCAGTTGGCTTATGTGGTAAGGAGAATATCAGTGAGAAGTGTGAGTTGTTTGTTTGAGCAGGTACTTCTGATTCCTGCTGCATTCACCCAGAAGACTGGAGAGGCTCACTGGGAAGTTCTTTTGAGAGCACGTGCTATAGAATGCCAATGCTATGTGAGTGCTCTGTTGTCTCCAATATCTATTGCTTGCTAAAACACTCAGCTGACAAGCTGAGCTTCCACGTGGCAGGTCATTGCAGCAGCTCAAGCAGGCCGACACAATGATCGCAGAGACAGCTATGGTCATGCCCTTGTGGTAGATCCATGGGGTAGAGTTGCTGCTCGTTGCAATGGTATGTAGTGCTACCCTGGCAATGGCAACTATCAGCATCATACAAGGAAGCTGCTCAGCAATTGCCTCTCTTTCGGTTGCTTTACCTGCCTGCAGATTTAGTTGCAACAGGAATTGCAACAGTGGACATTGACATGGACCTTATTGTGTCTACAAGACAACGTATGCCAATTCATCAGGTATTGTACCGGTAGCCCTTTACGACTGTTCTTGATATGCAGCAGTTGACTTATTTCTATACATCATTGTGTTTGGGTGCAGCACCGCAGAGTTGATGTGTACCAAGGTGCGAATGGGATGTTCAGTGATGTCAGTGACTCCAAGCTTTGATGTGAAATGAGACAACTCATTTGACATGCAGCATGCTGCGCTCGGACTTGGATCCGTGAAAATTCTAGTCCCTTGGCATTCTTGTGTCCTGGTGCAGCACCGCTGGGTTGATGTGTACCAAGGTGAGTATGGAAAGTCCTGTGGTTTTCAGTTACTCCAAGCTTTGATGTGCATTTAGACAATACATTAGACATGCAGCCCGCACGTATATCCTGTTGGTGCATGTCAAGTGGTACCGCTAATGCTGATGGAGCATGCATCTCTCTCGCTGGATATTACTGAGTGTTGGCTATTCTAACATGGGAAATCTCTTGTGCACGACCGCATAATTCATGTGTGGTGCAAATGATCCGTTTAGGCTGGGATAGTAGTGGCAATTGTTTAAATTAAGAATTGTATTAAAGACGTTTCATTATCTATTTCTTGGAATGTACAGCATTGGTAGCGCTTAGATCACGCCGATGTACTTGAGGCCAAGGGCGATGCCGATGCCAATGCCGTGGCCGACAACTCCGAAAGCGAGCACATCAGTGCCAGTGAAGCCGGCAGGGTCGTTGGTGCCAAGGCCAGTCTCCCTCTCGCTCAACTTCAGGAAGGCGCTGGACTTCCTGTTAGCCGAGGGAGCAAGGCCGAAGCGGCCAGCGACGAAGCACAGAGCAATGGAGCTCACCATGATCTGGAAAGAGAGAGGGACAAACGAAAGGTCGACATAGGATTTGAGTCACAACGAATGCTTCAAAATGTCTAATCGAAACCAGCACAAAGAGGAATCGCGAGAAGAACGACAGAAATATCTAACGTATTCACAGCGGGCACGGACCAGGTTGGTGGGAGAGCCAAGGTAGTCACAGCGGGCACCGAGGGCACCCTTGCCCTTCAGGGGAGCGAACTTCACCACCCGGCTGGGGGTGGCGCTGGCGCGGAGGCCATCGAAGCTCTTGATGGAGCTGGGGGCAACAAGAGCGGAGGTGGACACAGCGGCCATGGCGTCAGTTCTGCTTAGCTGAAGGGCGTTTGGTGAGTTGGATGAGCTTGCTGGAGCGAAGTCTGGCAAACTGAGAAAGTGGGGTTGTGTGATTACATTACTGGGTCAGGGAGGGGCATCCGCGAAGCCAACCGATCGGCTTCTGGACGTCGCACTGGGATTTCAGTTGCCAACGGATTGGACAGGTCTCACGGAAATGGATTGGGCAATGACTCACAACCAATCAGATAAACGTCGTATGCTTGGATGATTCGGGCCACGTGTAATGTCGTCCCAAGCACTGTGCGTTTACCAGCGCACTGCACGAGTGAATGCTCGCAACAATCACCTCAAAATTGAATGAAATATAAACAGTAAATGGTTTTATTCTGGCTAGATATTTAGAGTAAAGAGATACTTTATGCATTTTAAGGATTTGCAAAATAAGTGCTACATTATTTCAAATATTATTAAAATACATAAAAAAAAACTTCAGATTCATGTATTTGTTGACTTACAATATTTTCAACAATTGACTTACCACCTATGTGTCCAGGCTTGTTTGAGCACGCATGATTCTGCTGGCTGGGATTGTGTTGTTATCTGGTGACAAAGTGGCTGCTATATGACCGCAATTCAACCAATCGATCGTTTCATACGCACCCAGTCATCCACCAACCACGAGTTCCTGAACTGTAGACCAGGGCTCTCGTTATCAGACCATTTTGGTCTGATGGTCTGATTTTCAGACTCATTTTTTTATATCCATCTGATTTTCCAATCTAGATTAGACAAAACAATTGTTTTGCCTGGGGGACCCGTCTGACAGAATCAGACACCCTCAGATCCTAGCAAGAGCCCTGCTGTAGACCCACCTACATCCCTCCATATGCACATGCTCAAATATGACGCTGATGGTAGGGGAGGTGGAGAAAGTTGGGACAAGCATCAGGGGGCTACCGGCTCCATCAGGGTTAAACCAGCTCCTTTTCCATTCACCACCAATAAAATTTAAGACACCGTCCTACATTTATATATCTAGCTACCAGCATCATACTAGTTCTTTGTTTGGTGTATGCCTTCAGATGCACAGAAAGGTGGAGCCTTTTTCTTTGTTTTGTTCCTGTTGTGGAAGTTCACTGTAGCAACACATCTAAAGGTCACAATGCAGACACTCACCCCCTCCCATACGGGTGATATTGACTAGGTCCAGGAAACATTCCACCTCTTTCGACTTGAAAGCCTGGATGTACTGGTGAAGGTGGCGGGGGGGCATAGTGACCAGCAGGATATGCACCATAAGCCCCACCTACGTACGTCCCTCCCATTGTGTATTCTGTGGGCGGACCTGGTCCCATTTGAGGGTACCCTCCAGGAAAATTAGGCGGGCCATATCCTTCACTGGGTTCTGCATACTGGAGCCCAGCATTAGGCAAATAAGCGCTGGCACCTGCTGCTCCACTGAAAGGACTATGTGCTTGATATTGGCCTTCCCCGCCGTAAGAGTCCCCGTAGCCAGGGTATGGCCTGTAGCCTGCACTTCCCATGTACATTGCGGAATAGGGGACACCATAGCCACCTGCATAAGCAGGGCCATAGGCGTAGTCGCCTCTGTAAGCAGGCATGGGGGAATCTCCATAGCTCCCCGGAATTCCGTAGCCTCCCGAGCTGTACTCTACACCATGACGACGACCCCTTACTACACCGAAGCCATCATTTCCTCCAGGAGCGTCCATTCTCCTGGGCTCCGCTTTTTTCACCTCAACCTGCAAACGAAGAAATGGTCAGGCAGCGGGTCAATGTAGGAGGTGCGCTGATTGAAAAACAAAATAAAGACGTAAAATCGGGCCGTGACTTACCTGTTTGTTTCCAAGTTGATGCATTTTTCCTTGAGCAAGGACATTTTCAACGGATTGCTCATTGTCAAAAGTGACGAAGCCAAACCCCCGAGATCGACCAGTGTTATGATCCATCATTACTTGGCGATCCACCACATTTCCGAAATTCGAGAAGTACGCGGCAAATTCCTCTGCAAGTAACAGGAAATACATCAGCGATTGGCAATGCAGTGTTTCAGGGAAAATGGCGGACATGGAAACACATTCAAGTCACCTTCTGTGGTGCTACCAGCAAGGCCTCCGACGAATATCTTCTTCGTCCTCGGACCACGTCCTGCACTTGCATTTTGTGGAACTGACTTCTTGGCTTCCACCTACACGTAGAGCCGGCAACAACGAAGTCAGCACGAACGAATTTCGCGAGTTTACGAGACGCCACTATATATCAATGGACAGTCTCTCTTTCCAAACTACCATGATATTGGACGTTGACGCCACCTACCGCTCGGCCGCCAATGACGTGTTGATCCTCCACTACTTTATCACACGCTGAGGGATCCTCAAAAGTGACAAATCCAAATCCACGTGGTCGGCCGGTTACCCGATCCTTCATAACCACCGCATCCACAATGGTTCCATACTGCTTGAAATGCTCGATCAAGTCCTCTGCATATCAAGGAAGGGGAAAGCTTGACGATTCGCGGGCATGTGAAGGACATGACTACCTTGAAGGACGAAAGCTTGACTCGAGTGGTGGGATAAGATTAAGAGAACAGGATATCTCTGCGCACCTGTTTTCGTTTCCCATGAAATGCCTCCTATAAATATCTTTCCTCTGCATTGCAACATAGCACGCGTATCAGAAAATAGGTCCCGATGAGAGGTTATATTCTCTGATGAGGTACATTTTCGAAGTTAAGTTAGATTCTGGAAAACTACTAACCCTGATCGGGAAGACGGAGCGGGTTGCTGAGAATCGGTAGCGTGCGAATCTGCTGTAACCCTCTTCTGTTGAGACTCTTTGTCCTGTGGATGGTTAGATTCCTCTGGAACAGCGGCGTCCGGATTAGCAGACGCTTCCATTTTTCCTACTGCCATCAACGCCAGCACCGCCTATGCGGCTGGATGGCCCTCTGACAAAGAAAGTATAGGAAGCGCTCTGTGGAACTAATGAGTGATTGCACTTTCAGCTAGTTTTGGCCTCATGAAACAAAGAAAAGGTGATCCTGTGCAGTCGGCTCAAGTGTGCCAAGCAGCATCAGGTAAGCTTGCCTGGCGTCCATATCCCCGTGAAATACTCGTAAGGCACAATCGTGCTGCTCGTGTTTTCTGACGAGGTTTGTCTGGAAAGACCAATTTCTGGCTTCCCGAAGCGGCCATTTCTTTCTCCTGCAGTTTGCCGAGGCACGGGCACCCGTGCTTAGAAAGCTGGTTTGGCTGCTTCCGTGGCACGTGAACTCTACAGACAGACCAAATACATTGCTATCGGATTGGTTGCCTGACTTGGGGAAGCCTGGTTTGAGGCCTGAACAGTGTGCCAGACCCAACCACGTTCGAGAACAAGCTTTGTGGACCAAGCGCGGCTGTCCGGCGAATGGCTAGGGGGCCACAAATCCCCGCAGCGACCACTTCGCTTAGCTAATCAGCGAAGTTCCCGCGTAACACCCTTGAGCATTTCCTAAGGCCTGTGGTGTGCTTCAGCACCCCTTCACGCGTGGAGGGAGAAAAGGACCCCGGCTCTGTTCTGTAGGCCATGGCGGTGAGGGGACGAGGAGTGGAGGTAGCTTCCCCCCACTGCGTTTTTTGAGTTCGGAAGGCGGTCAGCCCGCAAAACGTTGCCGAGCCAGCCATTTCCCCTCCGAACCAGTTCGAGGGGAAATGGCTACAGAACAGCCATTTACCCTCGTGGATTTTGGCCCATCGGAAGCTACCTATTTCCCCTCTCCACCTTCCTCCTCTGGCAAAAGTCAAGTCATTCGCCCCGCCCTACGAAACCTGCTTTTTCAGAGCGTGGCGAGAGACATGGGAGGGATGTACGGTGGGTAGGGACACCCATCTACTACCCTCGGTGGACATGCCCTCCTGCTGCACGTAGCCCAAAACGGAAAGCACAACCCGATCGAGGAAAAATAAACCGGAAAAAAACCGGAAAGCACAACCCGATCGAGCCCAGCCATCTTGCACAACCGGAAATTGGGAGTTGAGGTTGCATTTCGATTTTTTACTGCTGAACCCCCTCGTGCGAATAGTACCTTCTTATTTAGGTTTTCTCGATTCAATGTACTCCTGCCTATGGGGCGCGAAATTGAGCAGGCAAATGCGTCATTTACCTTCGGCACTTTCCGCCGCAGCTCACGAAGTTTCACGCTTTCGGCTGTAGCGGGGTGGGGGTGATATCGAAAGGGAAACTGCCTAGGAGCCCTCATCATTTCCACTCGTCCCCCCTCCTCCCCCTCACGGCAAATGCCTACAGAACAGAGCCAATGTGAAAGCAGCGAGAGCATCCTCGCTTGAGGCCTGTGTTGGAGGGAAATTCACTTTTCCCTGACAACCCGATCTCCTGGCGTAGAGATCAGTTATGATTGGTGGTTGACACGTTTTCGCCTCGCATTGTTTGGATATAAGAACAGTTTGCCCGAACGACTTTCCGCCCATCAATCGGCGGAAACGCTGAAATGTGCATTAGTGGAAGGTGTACACCCGTAAAAGAATAAGCATCACGCATGATTTTCTACTCATGCTAAACCAAATTTCCTTACGGAACCGTGGTATGTCTTTAGCGGATTTCTTCCAACAAGCACCACGGCACATCGCATTCTAGATACAGCATATCCCACGCATTCAGGTATCGACCAACGCAACTGTTGCGGATTTGACTCGCCACGCATTTCGCGCAGCGGGATTTTCACGGACGCTTATACACCGCTCCCCACGCACCTCCGCATGAATGGCTTCTCCGCGCGTATACTTCCCCGCTTCATCTCCGCGCAGCTTCGCGCCAACCACCCCCACTAGCCAGCTTCTAGGGGACTCCTCCGTAACCCAAGGATCAGGAGGTGGCAGTTCGGTGGGGTTAGAGGAGCTTCAAGATGCGTACTTGTCGGAGCTGCTCTCCTACAGCCTGGATCGATTGAACAAGGTGCGACAGAGATTGGGGTTGTAAGGCAGAAGAACTTCGGACAATCATGAGTAGTCATGGTTCTCGAAAGATTCGGGAAAAGCGACGAAGAGATATCTTCGAACTTTTGGTCCGGATACATGTATGATTGACGCTTCTCTCATGTGAGGCCAGACCAATCAGGAACACTGATTCTCAGTCTATTGCCACCTATTCAACCTATCTTTTACTCACGTCGTCCTTTCCCCCATCTCTAACGCTTTGCTTGTGGCAGGAACCAGAGCTGCTGCGCGCCGATGCGGAGAGGGTGCAGCGGCAGATGCAGGAGGTGGCGGTGGCGCATTACCGCGCGTTCATCACCGCCGCTGACGCCATCCGGTCCATCCACCGCGAGATCAACTCCGTCGATCAACACCTGGGGTCTCTGGTGAGAGGCAATAGTCTGACATTGCATCATGTATTGTCGTTCCAATATTACTGCATTCGTGAACCTCTAGCCTGAAATTGAAGCGTCGTTATGTATCACAGCATGAGTCACCATAACCATAAGAGTCGAGTCAAACATTGGATCATGATCGTCACACGTCTGGCGTAAGAAAAATTTTCAGGTAAGGCGGATTTGACATCAGGTGTTGGAGATCCCTAAGTTGTTGCTTAGTTCTATCATATCTATTCAAACCCTTCCCACTTTATCTGGCATCAGGTGTCGGGGATCCCTAAGCTAACCACCGGGTGCAATGAGTTTCTGGAAGAGGCTCAGGGGGTGATGGAGAAGAGACGGCTGAACAAGACAATGCTTGCCACCCACCCCACGCTCATGGACCTTCTAGAGATCCCACAGCTCATGGACACGTGAGTGCTGTAGCTCATGGCCACGTGGCTGCTGCTATGATTCTGGCCATGTGGTGTGGGTGCTGCGACGTCCCATGACCACATGTTCTTCTCACGTCTGCTCATCCTTCCCTGACAGCTTTGTGCGCAACAGCAACTATGGCGAGGCGTTATAACTGGAGACATCAAGATTCATGCGGAGTAGCTGCAAACCTGTAGAAACACTTAAGCAATAGGATCAAGACTGTGAAACTTGCTCCCAGAAATTCAAAAGGATCTCAAAACCTTCAAACTCAAGAGAACCCTCGCAAACTAGTTTCGAATTTCGGGACAGAACCCCGCTAGGCCTTCATCAGTGCTGCTTACAGGCTCAAACAAGTCTGCTCATCCTTCTCGGACAGCCTGGTGCGCAACAGCAACTATGGCGAGGCGTTATAAACGGAGATATTCCTTATTTGAGTCGACTAAAGAATCAGCTCAACTGCCTGCCCTGCTCCTCCCGCACCCCCTGCTCGTCTCTTCCCCGTGCAGCTGTGTGCGCAACGGCAACTACGACGAGGCCTTGGACCTGGAGGCGTTCGTTGCGAAGCTCGCCACCACGCATGCCAAGTGCGTTGGGGGGAGGGGGGAGGGAAGGGGAGAAGGGGTTGAGAGTGAAGAGAGGGGAGAGAAGGGGAGAGAAGGTGGGAGGGAGGCGTTGGACCTGGAGGCGTTCGTTGTGAAGCTCGCCACCATGCATGCCAAGTGCGTTGAAGGAGAGATGGGAGTCAAGTGTGCGGGGGAAAGGGGGAGTCAGCGCGTGGGGGGTATGGGTGGGGGAGCAGTGAATTAACTGCGTGGTTGGGGGGAGATCGTGAGAGTCAAACTCAGTATTTGATTTTACGGGCTTACATGGACTTGCCACCACCCTCCCATCCACGCACGTTCCATCCGTCGTGCATCCCCTCACAGCACCCCCCACCCCACGAGGCTGTATGTGATTCGTGGGATACCAACTGCCAGTTGAAGTTGAAGCAAGGCACACTACCAATGCCTTCCTGGCACTCGTCCCCTCCCCTCTTTTCCTCCCCTCCCCTGCACGCACCTCGTATGCTTCACCTCACTCATCACCCCACCACGCTGGCAGTGATTCAGCAGCAGCGATGGAAGTGCGGCACACTACCCAGGCCGTGCTGTCACTCCTCTCCACCGGCACACTGAATCACTTCTCTCCTTACCCCCTTTCTTCAACTTCCCAATGCGCACCCTCCACTCATCACCCCACACGTCACCCCACCAGGCTGCCTGTGATTCAGCAGCTGGCGGTGGAAGTGAGGCACACCACGCAGGCCATGCTATCACAGCTGCTGCTTCGACTGCGCTCCAACATCCAGGTGAGAGAGTCCTGGGAGCAGAGTCACCATGACATTCGACTGCAGCAGCATGGCATTCGACTGCAGCAGCAGAGTCCTGGGAGTGACCGTGTTTTTTGGAATGCGCCTCCTTTCTACACTGGCCATTCGGTCTACCAAGCCTTGCACTGACGTGGCTTCTCAGTTCTCAACCTCGCTTCTTGGAATACCAACCCTTTGTTTGTCTGGCTGCTTAATTCCCCACTGACTGACTTCCTGCTCTCTGCACCACCCATCCCCCCTGCAGCTGCCCGAGTGTCTGCGTGTGATTGGCTATCTACGGCGCCTGGCGGTTTTCTCTGAAACAGAGATGCGACTTCAGGTGAGTAGCGAGCTTCAGTTGAGCAGCGTTTTTTAAACTAGCAGCGTATCTTTCTGGTATGCACAACAAAGAATCTGCATGGCCGCGTGTGGACTGCATATGACATTGGCTCTGGCATCTGCTCGTCCCACCCCTCTGATGTCCCGTCGCCTTCCCTCTCACCTTCTCATCAGCCCTCTCCTCCTGTCTGTCTACCTCCTCCTCCCCACCTCTCGTACCCTTTCTTCCCGCGCTCCCCGTCCTTCTCTCCCCCCTTTCAGTTCCTGCGGTGCAGGGAGGCGTGGCTGGGGGAGGTGGTATCTGAGCTGGACCCGGCCTCCCCCTACGACTATCTGAAGCGCCTCACCGACTGCCACCGCGTGCACCTCTTTGACGTCGCCACGCAGTACCACGCCATCTTCGCCCACCACTCCTCCTCATCCCCAGATTCATCGAACCTGGACGAGGATTCGGCCGCGCTCGCGGCTCTGCTAGGGGACGGGGGAGTGGGGGGGGGAGCCGGGGGAGGGGCCGGGGGGGTGTTGGGGAAGTATGGGAAGGGCAGGGCGGGAGGTGGGGCGGTTTTGAATGGGTGGGGGGGTGGGGGAGCGGGGGGGGATGGGGGTTTGGTGTATGGGTGGGCGATGCACCGAGTGGCTGTGTATTTAGCAGCTCTGGCGCAGCATCTGCCGCGAATCGAGGATGGAGGGTCTCTGGCTAGCGTGCTGGAACACTGCATGGTGAGATGGGCGGCATGGTGAGATGGGCGGCATGGTGAGATGGGCGGCATGGTGAGATGGGCGGCATGGTGAGATGGGCGGCATGATGGGATGTGCACGGGCAAGTAAGTATGTGGAGTTTGGTGAATTGGCCCGTAGCCCTGTTCCTCTTAGCTTATGCCTTATTTCCTCTGCTCTCCCTGCCTTCGCCCCTCTCCTCCCCCGTCTTATGCCATCCCTCCTCTCCCCTCCTCTGCCTTGCCGCACCCCTCTGTTCCTGCCCCTCTATGTCCTCCCTGGCAGTACTGTGGCATGAGTCTTGGCCGAGTGGGGCTGGACCTCAGAGGCCTCTGTCGAGTTGACCCAAAAGTCACCTGGATCATGTATCCTCAGCGCGTCTCCTCCCCCCTTGTGTGTTCCCAACCCCTGCACTCCCTGGCAGTACTGTGGCATGAGTCTCGGTCGAGTGGGGCTGGACCTCAGAGGCCTCCTGCCTCCCCTCTTTGAATCGTGCGCCGCTCTTGCCGTTGCTCATCCTGCACAGCACTCATGCCACTCTGGTTCCTCTATTGCCTTCCACTGCTACTGTTACTAATCCGATAGTTCATCGACTATGTCTCTATTGACTATGGAAGCAGTACTGTTGCAGTCTACTGTTCATCGACTATGTCTCTATTGACTATGGAAGCAGTGCTGTTGCAGTCTACTGTTCATCAACTATGTCTCTATGTCTCTATTGCTCTATTGCTTCTATTGCTTTCTCTCTCTTTATGAGACCTCACTTCTTCATCATCGTATCATCACTCCCACCACTTCCACCGCGCTCATTACCCTCTCATGCTTCTCACGTCGTGCTTCCAATCACCCCGCTCAGGTGTGTGCTGCGGATGTTTCAGCGCAACATCTCCTTTGCGGTTGACTCCTTCCATGTGAGTGGACTGCAAAGAGCCAACGCCGATGACTCATGCACGATGTCATTCATCTCACTCATGCATGATGTCATTCATCTCACTCATGCATGATGTCATTCATCTCACTCATGCATGATGTCATTCATCTCACTCATGCATGATGTCATTCATCTCACTCATGCATGATGTCATTCATCTCACTCATGCATGATGTCATTCATCTCACTCATGCATGACGTCATTCATCTCACTCATGCATGATGTCATTCATCTCACTCATGCATGATGTCATTCATCTCACTCATGCATGATGTCATTCATCTCACTCATGCATGATGTCATTCATCTCACTCATGCATGATGTCATTCATCTCACTCATGCATGATGTCATTCATCTCACTCATGCATGATGTCATTCATCTCACTCATGCATGATGTCATTCATCTCACTCATGCATGATGTCATTCATCTCACTCATCACCCGTCACCCGGCAACCATTCATGGTATATGAATGCCGTTGCCATTCAGGTGTGTACCACTCATGCACATCATGCGTACCACACTCCCGCTGCCCCTTCCCTGGACAACATAGGCATGGTCTTTTCACAGTTTCATGTGTCACCAACTGTCACCTTCTTTCCTCTGCCCCCCATTCCACACACCCAACCCCTCTTTCCTTCCCCCCCCCAGCATGTGTTGGAGACGCACAGATGGGTCTTCCTGCCCTCCATGGGCTCTGCTGCTCGCATGGGCCTGGGCCTGGATAGTGACTCCCTTGATCCTTTCTCCTCTCCCCTCATTTCCACCCTGCCCCCCCGCCTCCTTCCTATCCCCCTCCACACAGCATGTGTTGGAGACACATAGATGGGTGCCTCTCCCCTCCATGGGCTCTTCTGCTCGCATGGGCTTGGGACTGGGTGGTGACTCCCCCTCTTCCCTCTACTTTTCCCTCTTTCCGTTCCCCGCAACCCCTCTTTAATTCCTTCCCCTCCCCAGCATGTGTTGGAGACGCACAGATGGGTACCTCTCCCCTCCATGGGCTCCGCTGCTCGCATGGGCCTGGGAGGTGAATCCCTTGATGACGTGGCGCCACCCTATTCGCTCATGGAGCACCCACCACTGGCCGCCTTCGTGAATGGTGTGTGCTGGGGGGGTGGTGAGCCGTGCTGATGTGGCACAGGGGGGGGATGAATCTGTGCTGATGTGGCACAGGGGGGGATGAATCTGTGCTGATGTGGCACAGGGGGGGATGAATCTGTGCTGATAGAGGGGGATGGTTTTGTGCTGATGTGGATCAGGGATGGTGATTGTTCTTTGCTCATCTCAGATGGAATATTGAGATGAGATGGCATTGGTGGTCAGGGGGGTGGCATGGCCGCTGAGTTACTAGCATTCGCGGCCACATTTGCAAACCACCAGCACTCAATGAATCGTGGCAGGCACTCTGCCTCACCGTCTTACAATTGCCAACTCCCATCCTGACCCCATGCCCCGTTCCGTGTTGCCTGCCCCTCTTCCCTGGTCTCTTCCCTGGTCTCTTCCCTGGTCTCTTCCCTGGTCTCTTCCCTGGTCTCTTCCTGGTCTCTTCCCTGGTCTCTTCCCTGGTCTCTTCCCTGGTCTCTTCCCTGGTCTCTTCCCTGGTCTCTTCCCTGGTCTCTTCCCTGGTCTCTTCCCTGGTCTCTTCCCTGGTCTCTTCCCTGGTCTCTTCCCTGGTCTCTTCCCTGGTCTCTTCCCTGGTCTCTTCCCTGGTCTCTCCTGGTCTCTTCCTGGTCCTCTTCCCTGGTCTCTTCCCTGGTCTCTTCCCTGGTCTCTTCCCTGGTCCTCTTCCCTGGTCTCTTCTTCCCTGGTCTCTTCCCTGGTCTCTTCCCTGGTCTCTTCCCTGGTCTCTTCCTGGTCTCTTCCCTGGTCCTTCTCCGTTGTGGTCTCTTCCCTGGTCTCTTCCCTGGTCCCTTCGTCCCTGGTCTCTTCCCTGGTCTCTTCCCTGGTCTATTCCCTGGTCTCTTCCCTGGTCTCTTCCCTGGTCTCTTCCCTGGTCTCTTCCCTGGTCTCTTCCCTGGTCTCTTCCCTGGTCTCTTCCCTGGTCTCTTCCCTGGTCTCTTCCCTGGTCTCTTCCCTGGTCTCTTCCCTGGTCTCTTCCCTGGTCTCTTCCCTGGTCTCTTCCCTGGTCTCTTCCCTGGTCTCTTCCCTGGTCTCTTCCCTGGTCTCTTCCCTGGTCTCTTCCCTGGTCTCTTCCCTGGTCTCTTCCCTGGTCTCTTCCCTGGTCTCTTCCCTGGTCTCTTCCCTGGTCTCTTCCCTGGTCTCTTCCCTGGTCTCTTCCCTGGTCTCTTCCTGGTCTCTTCCCTGGTCTCTTCCCTGGTCTCTTCCCTGGTCTCTTCCCTGGTCTCTTCCCTGGTCTCTTCCCTGGTCTCTTCCCCGTCCTCTTCCCTGGTCTCTTCCCTGGTCTCTTCCCTGGTCTCTTCCCTGGTCTCTTCCCTGGTCTCTTCCCTGGTCTCTTCCCTGGTCTCTTCCCTGGTCTCTTCCCTGGTCTCTTCCCTGGTCTCTTCCCTGGTCTCTTCCCTGGTCTCTTCCCTGGTCTCTTCCCTGGTCTCTTCCCTGGTCTCTTCCCTGGTCTCTTCCCTGCCGGTCTCTTCCCTGGTCTCTTCCCTGGTCTCTTCCCTGGTCTCTTCCCTGGTCTCTTCCCTGGTCTCTTCCCTGGTCTCTTCCCTGGTCTCTTCCCTGGTCTCTTCCCTGGTCTCTTCCCTGGTCTCTTCCCTGGTCTCTTCCCTGGTCTCTTCCCTGGTCTCTTCCCTGGTCTCTTCCCTGGTCTCTTCCCTGGTCTCTTCCCTGGTCTCTTCCCTGGTCTCTCCCCTCCTCCCGGTCTTCTTCCTCTCAGGTATACTGCAGCGCTGAACGAGTTGAGGCACTGTGCGCCGACGGCCCTGAAGCAGCAGCTGGCAGGGGAGGTGGAGAGGGCGCTGGCAGTGGTGGCGGGGTCACTGGTCGCTACAATTTAAGAGGATCTCAGAGGTGCCTCAAACCTCAACTCCTCCCCACCTCCCTTCCCTTCTCCTTCTCTCCCCTCCCCCCTTCCCGCTCAGGCATACTGGCAGCGCTGAACGAGTTAAGGCACTGTGCGCCAACCTCCCTGAAGCAGCAGCTGGCAGGGGAGGTGGAGCGGGCGCTGGCAGTGGTGGCGGGGTCACTGGGGCGCTACAGTCACACGCACATAGTCAAGGACTCCGAGGCTGCTCTCTTTATTAGCACGTGCAAGGCGTTTGTCGAGGTGAGTGAGAGTGTGCTTCTATATGCCACGGCGCTAACACTGGTGGTGGCGGGGTCGAAGGTTTGCTACACCCATACACACATAGTCAAGGGCTCTGAGGCAGCGCTCTTTATTAGCACATGCAGGGCGTTCATGGAGGTGAGAGTGGGAGCATGCTTGTAGGTATGAGGGCGCTGGCAGTGTTAGCGGGGTTGCAGGGTTACAGTCACACGCACTTAGTCAAGGACTCCGAGGCAGCTCTCTTTACTAGCACCTGTTTTGCCAATAAAACCGAAACACTTTGCAGGCTCATCAAGTCTCTGCTCGTCTCTGCATGCACTCACCTTTATCCCCCCTTCCCCGCTCCCCCTTTATCGCACCCCCACCTCCCACCACTTGCCCCCGTTTCGCGCACCCGCCCGTCCCGCCACCCCCCCATTCTCCCTCGTTCCTTTCTCTCTCCTCCTTTTGAGTCGACTCAAAAGTCCCTCCCGCCACCCCCCCATTCTCCCTCGTTCCTTTTTCTCTCCTCCTTTTGAGTCGACTCAAAATTCCCTCCCGCCACCCCCCCATTCTCCCTCGTTCCTTTCTCTCTCCTCCTTTTGAGTCGACTCAAAAGTCCCTCCCGCCACCCCTCCATTCTCCCTCGTTCCTTTCTCTCTCCTCCTTTTGAGTCGACTCAAAAGTCCCTCCCGCCACCCCCCCATTCTCCCTCGTTCCTTTCACTCTCCTCCTTTCGCTTCGTCGTTCTAAGACACAGTTTAAGGTGATGGATATAAGACCTCCGCAGCCCACCTGTTTACCTTTGACGCCACCCCCCCATTCTCCCTCGTTCCTTTCTCTCTCCTCCTTTCTCCCACCCCTTCCATGCAGGTGGTGTGCCCCTACGTGGCTGTGTGCTTCTCCCGCTGCTACGGCTCCCCTGCCACTCTCGTTTCCACACAAGCAGCCTGCGAGCCTGTGAAGCAACTCATTCTTGCCTCCATGCCACCTGCTGCCGCTGCCGATGCTGATGCCGATGCTGCTGGGGTGGATGAGGGGCAGGAGGGGGGGGAGGCGGCAGAGGGAAGGAGAGGAGATGGGGAGGCTGGGGAAGGAGAGGGGGGTAAAGGGGAGGAGAAGGTGGGTGAGGGTGTGAGGGATGGTAGTGGAGGTGAAAATGTTTCCACTGATGGTGATATGGCGCCTGATGGCCAATCAGTAGCAGGAGGGGGAAGTAGAGGAGAGGGGGGAGCAGCAGGAGGTGAAGGGACATCCGTGCAAGAGTTGAAAGCAGCCGCACCTGTAGGTACAGGAGCAGATGAGACGAGATGAGGGACGAATGCAGCAAGACTGGGTCTGCAGGTTGTGATGGAGGCGGCGTGCTTGACATAACAAAGTGGGGAGTTTGTGGGACTAACCGAACAGTAGTAAAGAATGAGGAGGTCAACAACCCGGAGGCATCGTATTGAGATATGTCAATATTGTCAGTGCTCACATAGTCGAGTTGCCATGCAGGTATGGAAGAAGTACAAACAAATTTGGCTAGACCAGAGCTGGTTTGATTTATACTAGGTTCTCCAATATTGTTCTGGTTTTATGAAATATTTCTGTACTTCTGTATTTATGGATTCAATTGACCGCATTCTTCTCGATGTTTGAGCCTAGCACCGAACCTGACAGACTTTGTGCTGCCGAGGCAGGTCCCCGAATCACAGCCCTGCTTTTCTCACTCCGTCGCAGCTTCGGCAGGAAGAAGCTCCCAAGAACTAAACCTACTGTACACCCTGTTTCTCGACCCTCTCACCTTGCGCGATTCGCTGCTACAGTGCGGTCAGGTGCCATAAACCGTATGGCTGAAACCTGCGGGCAAAGCCGCACCAGCTGACGGAGTGGTACTGGGGGCAAAATTTTTCTTTATCGCTGTATACCCTTTTCAACCGCTTTGAAACGCTTGGTTAATGTTCTGTACCATGCAGCATCCTAGCTAACCGCTTTCTTGTGAATGTGCTTGTACCGTCGGTGATAAGACCATTTCAAACGTGGTGACGTTCTACAACCAGTGCATGTTCTGCAACCAGATGCTCTGCTAGCGCGAAACAGGGTGTACACTCGGTTTCTTCTAGGCCACGTGATTCCCTGAGGGGATTACGGGGAGAGGTTTGTTCTGGATGGCTGATTTGATTGGTAAAGAGCACCGCACTCGACAGTACGAAAACGTGTTGAAACGCTCTGTACCAGACGGATGCTTGACAGGTGCTGACGGCGGAAATTGCAGTTTCAGATACACAAAGCAGTTTACCTTCCATATTTAGGTGGCAAGATAACTTTATTTACGATACGCTCCTAGAAACTAGCCATTAGCGACAGGCGACAATGGCGACATAGTCAGTCCACCGCTTATTTCCGGCGGTACCTTCCTTTCTTTTCGGCATTGCGTTCGGCCGGTACTCTTGTTCCCTCAGTCGTCTTCGATCAGGTGGTCAGTGCGCAAGCAACTGGCCTCGTAGTTTTTCGACTTGCGATCTTCAGTCGCACATAGTTCCGCTCCGATGAGACGTTAAACTCAAAACAGGCGAAATGGAGGAGCTAGAAAGGCGTCGTCGTCTTCGCTAAAGTCTTCGTGCGTTAGTATTGTGCATTTCCGGTCAGGGTAACGAGCAGGCCCCTTAGTGGGGCCTGACTTATCAGCAGCCATGAGCCTTTTGGAGATTAAGTATGTCCCGCGGCCTCCGGCAATTGGACAGGGGTGCAATCTGGATTCCATGGTGAGTGGCTGTAGTTCTTAATACTTTGCTGCGGACTAGGTTACGGTCAAAGTCAGCGTCATGAGCTTACCCTACCTCGATAATGCAGTTTCTAAGGAGGTGGCTTTTGAGTCGACTTGTCCGCGGTTTCAGGAGATTGGAGTGTATTGTTTTGTTGGGTGCGATTTCGGATGCCAGGGCCTTGTACGCGATGATGAATTAGTCCGCTTTTTGTTGGCTCAGCGATTCCACGAGGAATGCTGACCACTGGGAAGCGTCTCGTTTCACGTCAGTCTTTTCCAGCTGCAACATTCCACACGGAATCAAGGAGTTGGCCTTTAAACGGGAGAGAATAAACCAGTGAAATTCCTCTCTGAAGTCATAATTTTCCTTTCTCATTGTCGCCCAGCCGAAACTCCCCCCTCCCCCGTCCCCCTTCACATCCCCCTTCACTTTCCCCATTCTCCCCCTCGTCCCCCTCCCCACCTCCCTCCCCTCCTCCTCCTCCATTCCTCCCCTTTCCTCCCTAGATTCTGCCGGAGGCCGAGGAGGTGCCCCACTTGCGCGAGTTGGACTTTTGCGTGAACGCGGATTTCGTGCACATAGAGAACAAGTACGGCACCTTCATCTGCGAGCCGCACCTCTCCTTCCCCAACCAAGTCTTCCCCTCCAACCCCTCAGACGCCCCTCCTGGTGAGAATCAGAGGGAGTGAGAAACGGGTATGGTATCTGGGGGGAAGGGGGTATCTGGGGAGAAGAGGAGGGGGGGGTGCATGCATGTTGGCGTACGCGTACGGGGGAGACGGCGTTTGGGGGTGGCGGCCATGAGCACCTTAGGCCGTGAGAAATAGATGTCTGGGAGGTGGATTCTGGCGTTTCGGGATGCCTGCTGTGAGAATACGTGTCACTTGCTGTACCTCGCCTGGAACCCGCCCCTCCTTGCCTGCCTTCCCTACAGCGGGCTTCACCTCACCCACCAACTTGCCCGCCTTGCTACTCGCCCTGTCCCTTACCAACTGTGTGACGGGCTTGCTGGTGTGCACCACTTGCTGTTTTGAAGTTTAACGGCTAAACTTTAACCTTTACACTCACCACCTGCCCCCTCGCCGCTTCACTGCCTTCCATCCCCATGCTCTCCACCTCTGCTGCTTCCCTCGGCTGTCTTTTGCTTTTTCCGAAGCAGGGAGCTACAGGCAGAATGGAGGGGAGGAGGAACCGGAGGACCCTTATGTCGGGGATAGGTCAATGGACGAGGTTAGTGTGCGGTGCTGGGCTAAAGGAGTGAGGGAGTCTGTCCAGCCTGCTAGCTCTTCATTTGACGGGAGAGCTCGCTGACTGAATGATCCGCTGCCTTCACTGTCCTGCCAATTGATCAACGCCCATCTTGTTGTCGCTGCTGTCACTCCCCCTCTTCCTTCTCCCCGACCCCAACCACCCCCACACTCTTCCTCCCTACTCCGCCCCTCCCCTACCCCTCCCTCCCCCTCTCACCCCCCCTCCCTCCTCCCTCCCCCTCTCCCTTCCCCTCTCCTCCTCCTCCTCCTCCTCCTCCTCCTCCTCCTCCTCCTCCTCCTCCTCCTCCTCCTCCTCCTCTTCCTCCTCCTCCTCCTCCTCCTCCTAGGCATGGGCATCTGGCCCGACCCGGCCCGACCCGTCCCGTTTAGGGCGACCCGTTAGCTTAACGGGTCGGGTCGGGTCGGGTTAGCGGGTCGGGTTTGACTCTGTTTTGGTGACCCGACCCGCCCCGTTGGAACGGGTATTTGTGACCCGTAACCGGGTCGGTTACACCACGGGTCGGGTCGGGTCGGATCAAAATATGCTACATAGCAGCAGGGTATGGTGGCGCCTTGGCGCTGCTCCAGGTGGTGTTCGCGATGCTGGAGGTGGGGACCGCGATTCTGGCTGGTGGCATTCGCGCTACTGCAAGGCCGCTATCGCGCTATTGCGGGGATGCGATCCCGCCAATGCGTGGCCGCGATCGCGCTGCCCTAATGTGGTGCCGCGATCGCGCATATGCGGGGCCGCGATCGCGCTATTGCGGGGACACGATCCCGCCAATGCGTGGCCGCGAGTGCGCTGCTGCGCCCCTGGTCGTGCGACACTGGGAAAGGCAGGAGCGCCTATGCCTATAATGAATATAAATATTAAAATAGTGCTAACATTGAAGTCAAGACTGTAAGAGTTTTGGTAGGTGGAGTGGAGATTTACTAACTTGATTAGAGACTGGATCTGAATGTCGAGGGAAACAAAACATAAAAACCAACTGATGTTCTCCCCCTCTCCAAATTGTACCCTAAGCAGAGAACGGGTCGGGTAACCCTGTCATTTGACTGGGTATGCGACCCGGACGGGACGGGTCAACCCGACCCGGCGGGTCGCTGATACCCGTCTATAAATCACATTGACGGGTCACGGGTCGACCCGACCCGCCCGGGTAAACCCGACCCGACCCGGACGGGTCGACATTCTCAGCATTCCTGACCCGACCCGCCATTTTAGGCGGGTCGGGTCGGGTAACCCGACCCGTCCGGGCCAAATGCCCATCCCTACCTCCTCCTCCTCCTCCTCCAGGAAAGCTGTGTCTCACTCACTCGTTTCCCTCAATGCCTCTTCGCTCCACAAATTCCATGGTTTGCCATGGCATGACATGGAATGGAATGACGTGGTGCGGCATGGGTTGGCGCGGGTTGACATGGCGTGCACGGCGGGGGCTGCGTGGGTGGGGCTGCATGCATGATGGTGGCTGTATGGGGGGGGGTGCATGGGCATGGCTGTGGGGGCATGGCTGTGGGTGCATGGGCGTGGGGCACTGCACTGCGTGGCTCGCAGCACTACGGTGGGTCGACCATAATGGCGTACGATCCGCTCTTCAACTGGGACTCGGAGCGCGCTGCTGTCATCGGCCACCGCCTGCCCATCCGCCCCATCACCTCGCCCTCCGTGTAAGACAAGCATTCCGTGTGAGGAGACACATGCATGCATGCACATTCCAAGCAAGCACCATCGGTGAGTGGCACGCTGCCCTCCCTTCCCCCACTCCTTCAGACCTGTCACTTTTTCTTATATGCTTACAGTCAGAACCTCCCTCCCCATTCTTCCCCCCCACATTACATCTCATCCTCCCCTCTGTTCTATCCACCAGAGGTACACGTTTCTCAGTGCGCATCCTGGGCCTGACGGTGCAGGCAGGGCTGGTGGAGCCAGTGAGCGGCACCATGTGCCTGTACCACGCCGAGCGCCGGGAGAAGGCCTCCGAGGACTTCCACTTCCAGTTCCTGCCGGCGCAGTGGGAGGGCGAGAGCACGTCCCCGGACACGAGAGCCATCTTCTCAGTGGACAAGGAGTCGGCGGCGCTGTGCCTGTTGGTGCAGCTCGACAAGGCTGCCAGCGAGGAGAGCGTGAACGGGATCAAACCGGCTGTGTATACTCGCAAGGACCCGGTAAGTTTGGTGTCAGGGTGTGTGTCTCATCTTCTCGGTGGACAAGGAGTCGGCGGCGCTGTGCCTGCTGGTGCAGCTCGACAAGGCTGCGAGTGAGGAGAGTGTGAATGGCATCAAGCCCGCTGTTTACACCCGCAAGGACTCCGTGAGTTTGGGGTTAGGGTGGGTGGTTGTGGTTGCTTGATGTGTGTTTGTGTGGTTTTGAGTGGACTCAAGAGTGAGGAGAGTGTCAATCGCATCAAGCACTGTGTTCACCCGCTGTGACTTCTTTTACTGGGTAGTGCGGGCGGGAAAGTGCGACTTGCATCACGCTTTCTCGCTGACGGTTCTGTGATCTCGGAGAGGACCACCTTTCCCTTTTTCGCCTCTTCTTTCTTTCTCCTCCCTCCCTCTCTCCCCCCATTCTCCCACCCATCCTCTCCCCCACCCTCTCTCCCCCTTGCAGCCCACCCTGACGGACAAGGAAGCAGCGCGCCTGTCAGAGTGGGCACAAGTCATGCCCTTCCGAGAGCCCCTCGCGTGGATCACCATCCCCCTCTTTGATTCGTCTGTCACCGGCGGAGTGGGGGGCTTCGGAGCCTCGGGAGGCGGCAGCTCAGGGGGAGGGTCGTCAGGGAGTCTGGGGGGAGGTGGGGGCGTGCTGGGGGTGGAAGGGGGAGGCATGGGGGGAGGGGCGGGGTCGAGTCCGGTGGTGGATAGCAATGGGGTGCGCGTGCCGGCTTATGAGCTGGGGGGGCCACCAGTGCAGATTGACATTCCCACGTTGAATCGCGCCAAGGAGTGTTATACTGATGACCAACTGCTGGTGAGCCTCCGGCTTCTGGCTCTCCGTTACTTGTAAAATTCTTCACAAGGAGTGTTATACTGATGACCAGCTGCTGGTGAGCTGCTGACCCTTGGCTCTCAGTTACTGTTTTCTAAGTTGACAGAATTGGTGAAGGCTGACTTCCCCTCCTCGTCTTCCCCCCTTTCCTACCCTTCAACAGCCCCCTTTCCCCCCCAGGACCCCAAGAAGAAGGCGCAGAAGCCAGTGCGCGTCTCCATGCACTTCGAGGTGGAAAGACTACCTGGGGCGAGGACAATTGGAGCCCGTTCCCCTCTCATCCACCACTTCAACCACTTCCGTTTTCCCACTCTTCCCTTCTCCCTCCCCCTTGGTCCCCCACTCTTACAACCCCAGGACCCCAAAAAGAAGGCGCAGAAGCCAGTGCGCGTCTCCATGCACTTCGAGGTGGAGAGGCTACCCGGAGGGGCGGCAGGGGGGGCGGCAGCGGGCGGCAGTGTGACGCCGCGGTCCCTCAGCAGCAGCGCGTCACAGAGGGGTGTGAACCGGGCGCGGTCGCAGGACTCCATGACCTCAGACCTGGACGATGTTAACATGGTGCCAAGGAGCCTTTCGGTTTCTAGGTTCCTCACTGGGGTGAGTGCTTTGTGATTCGTGAGTGCCCTGCATGCCCTTCATTTCTTGGGGGAAAGGGGGTAGGTCGGGATCAAGGGGGTGTGAGGTGTGAACCGGGCGCGGTCGCAGGACTGCATGACCTCAGACATGGACGACGTCAACATGGTGCCCAGAAGCCTTTCGGTTTCTAGGTTCCTCACAGGGGTGAGAGCTTTCTGAGTGTCCTGCTGCATGCCCCTCTACTCGTGGGGTGGGGTGAAGGGGGGTAGGTTGGGGTCAAGAGGGGTGGGTGAGCCGGGTGCGGTCGCAGGACTCTATGACCTGAGGGGTGGACCATGTCAACATGGTGTGAGTTCCTCTCCCGAAGCCTCTCCGTCTCCAGGTTCCTCTCCGGTGTGAGTTCCTCTGTGCCTGCAGCCTCCTCTGCTGCTTCTTCTTTCCTCTCTGCCTCCCATGCACTTCCAGACACAGACTTACACGGTCACTGTTCCAAGACCCTCGCACACAAACCCCCTTCCCTTCTTTCTTTTTCCCTTCCCCCACCCACCAGTTCCAGGCGATAGACTTCACGGACATGGTGAGGGCGGAGCCCTTCACGCGCCTCGTGTATCTGCCCTTTCCCTCCTTCCCTGCCCCACCTCTGCAGCTCAAATGACTTCTTTCCCTTCCACTTCTCCCTCACCTCCCCCTCTCCCGTCCCATCTGTGCAGTTCCAGGCGATAGACTTCACGGACATGGTTCTCGCGGAGCCCTTCACGCGCCTCGTGCATCTGCTCTTTCCCTCCTTCCCTGCCCCACCTCTGCAGCTCAAATGACTTCTTTCCCTTCCACTTCTCCCTCACCTCCCCCTATCCCCACCCACCAGTTCCAGGCGATAGACTTCACGGACATGGTTCGCGCGGAGCCCTTCACGCGCCTCGTGCATCTGCTCTTTCCCTCCTTCCCTGCCCCACCTCTGCAGCTCAAATGACTTCTTTCCCTTCCACTTCTCCCTCACCTCCCCCTATCCCCACCCACCAGTTCCAGGCGATAGACTTCACGGACATGGTCAGGGCGGAGCCCTTCACGCGCCTGGTGCATCTGCTCTTCGTGTATCCGCAGCAGGTCGCGCTGCCCAAGAAGCTCAACCTCTTTGTGCGCACCGAGCTGCGGGCAGATGACCTCGACATCCAACGGCCGTCAATGGAGGTCAGTAGAGATCCAACGACTGTTTGTGGAGGCAGTGCCGATCCGACGGCTGTCATTGGAGGTGAGCGGCGATTCCACGGTGCCCAGTGGTGGATCATGCAGCAAGTCAGCCAGCCCCGCAGCAGCAGGTGACGCTGCCCAAGAAGCTCAACCTCTTCGTGCACACCGAGCTGCGCTCTGATGACCTTGACATCCAACGGCCGTAAATGGAGGTGGGTGCCAGTTCGACGGCCGTGAGTGCAGGTGAGTCGCAATCCGACGGCTGTGAGTGCAGGTGAGTCGCAATCCGACGGCTGTGAGTGCAGGTGAGTCGCAATCCGACGGCTGTGAGTGCAGGTGAGTCGCAATCCGACGGCTGTGAGTGCAGGTGAGTCGCAATCCGACGGCTGTGAGTGCAGGTGAGTCGCAATTCGACGGCTGTGAGTGGGCCATGCAGCAAGCCAGCATCGCAGCAGCAGGCGGCGCTGCCCAAGAAGCTCAAACTCTTCGTGCACACCGAGCTACAGGCCGACGATCTCGACATCCAACGGCCGTCCATGAAGGTGAGTGCCGATCCGATGGCTGTCAGTGAATGGCCATCCAACGGCCCTTGGTGTGAGGTGGGTGCTGATTCAACGAATATCAGCTGAGATGAGATGAGAACAGATACTGCGCAGCTGGCAGGGCGGATGAGGGAAATCCACAGTTGTTAGTGGAGGAGAGTGGCGATCCAACAAAGCGGTGTTTTCTGCATCGCAGCAGGTGGCACAGGGCACACTGGGTGGGGACGCATCGTCTTCAAGCCCCCCTTCACCCCCTCTACCCGCTCTTCTCCTGCCTCCTCCCCTCCCCGCTTCCCGTTCCCTCTTCTCTTCCTTCTCTCCCCCTCACCTCACAGGCCATCTTTCCCAAAGAGCGCAATGGTCCCATGCTGCGTACAGCCTCAACTCAAGTGGTGCAGGGCGCACGGCCGGCTCTCTTCCATGACGAGGTCAAGATGCAGCTGCCTTCCCACTCTGCCTTCCCTCCTCCCTCCCCCTCCCCACCCCAATACAGGCCATCTTTCCCAAGGAGCGCAATGGTCCCATGCTGCGTACAGCCTCCACCCAGGTGGTGCAGGGAGCACGGCCGGCACTGTTCCATGACGAGGTCAAGATGCAGCTGCCTGCCTCTGTGACGCCAGCACACCATCTGCTCTTCACCTTTTTCCACATTGACCTCTCCCTGCGCTCCGAACGACCCAAGCCGGTGAGTGGGGGTACAGAGCACAGGGTAAGCTTGTAAGGGGTATAGATTGGAAATGCAACTGCCTGCTGCTGTGTTGCCCGCACACCACCTCCCTAGTTCAGCTCTCTCTTTTGATCGGTGTAAACCTTTCCTGATCTGTGTGCTGCTGCATTTGTTCTATGCAGGTGGCAGTGGGATATGCAGTCATGCCTCTTGCTGCTGCTCTACAGTACGTTCTTCTGTCCAACTTAGCTTGCCACCACCACCACAGCGGTTCATAGTGAAATTCTGTGCAAGAATCAGCAATCCTGTAGCGTCACTCCTTATGCCGCGTGTTTCATTTGCTATTTGTTACGATTCAACTGACATAAATTTCATCTGCCATGGTTCTTATTTCCTTGTGCTTGCGTGGCAGGGCGTTCAAAGCGGAGGTGAATCTGCCCATATCCAAGGACCTGCAGCCGCGCTACCTGCAAGAGAGCACCAAGGTGAGGTACAAATGGCTGCTTCATTGCGTTTTTGCACGGTGGTTGCATGTGATGTGCGTCTGACGAACTGGGAGGAGCGGCTTTTCATGCTGTCCTTACTCCTCCTGCCTGTCCAACCCAATGAGCTGCTCTCTTTTCTCTCCACACCGTGCTGGAGGCACCTCTGCCCCGCGAGGACCTCCTCCTGGGTGGGGCAACAGGTGCCTCCAGCATGGTGTGGAGAAAGGGGCGCCCTCAAGGTGCCCCACGGCAGAGGTGCCATCAATGCGCTCAAGACGGCGCCCCTTGTCGTGCTGATGGCCCCACTCTCCTCCTCTCATCCTCTGTTCCTTTTCCCTGAAACCACCCCCTACCCCTCTTCCTTCCCCCCTCCCCACCCTGTACCAGTCGCGGCTGACCTACTGGGAGGAAGGGAGGCCGATATTCCGAGTCCGCACTCGCCTCTTCTCGTCGCTCCTCCCACTCTCCGACCGCCTGCGCGACTTCTTCCACCAGTTCGACCGCCACATGCTGGAGGCGCCCCTGCCGAGAGAGGACCTGCTGGAGGCAATCAACGCGCTCAAGACGGTGGACGTGGTGGTGCTCATGCAGTTCCTCTACCCGCTGCTCAACATGCTGCTCTGCATGATCGGCAACGGCGTTGAGACGCTGCAGGTGGCTGCTTTTCGAGCCATGATCAACATCGTCTCTAGGTGGGTACTAGGTAGGCGTGCATGGGTGTACCCTTTCCCCCGCCCGGCCCCCCTCTGCAATCAGCGCCCCAAGTCAAGGCGGTGGACGTGGTGGTGCTCATGCAGTTCCTCTACCCGCTGCTCAACATGCTTCTCTGCATGATCGGCAACGGCGTGGAGACGCTGCAGGTGGCGGCTTTTCGAGCCATGATCAACATCGTCTCCAGGTGGGGTCCTTAGTTTCCTTTCCTGGGTGGGATCCGTACTTGTATCCCTCTCCTCCCCCTCCATGCCTCCCTTCCCCCCCTCTCCCCCCTCCCTCTGGAAGCAGAGGGCACCGCAGTCGCTGCCTCGTGCACTTTGTCTCGACTTCATCGTTGGCTCTCCCATCCCTTTGTCTCACCCCTCGGCCACTCCAACCCGCCCTCCTCTCACAAAGCAGAGTGCACCTGGAGCTGGCACCACAGACTGGCTCAGCCCCCATGGAGCGCAGTCGCGCTTTGCCGACTTCATTTCTGTCTGTTCCCCACTCTACTTCCACTCACCCCCATCTCCCCACTCCCATACTCTCACGAAGCAGAGTGCAGCTGGAGTTGGCACCACAGGCAGGTGCAGCCGCCATGGAGCGGAGCCGCTTCCTTGTGCACTTTGTCAACTTCGTCTTTCACTCTCTCCCTCTCTTCGTCTCACCCCTCCCCATTTCCACGTGTGTGTTCGCTCCTCCCCTCCCCTGAGAGCAGAGTGCAGCTGGAGTTGGCACCGCAGGCAGGTGCAGCCCCGACGGAGCAAAGTCGCTTCCTCGTGCACTTTGTCGACTTCATATTTGACGACCTCGGCCGCAACCAGCCACCCATGCATCTATCGCCCTTCCTCTCCCAATCTCCCACCTTCCAATGAGCAGAGTGCAGCTGGAGCTGGCACCTCAGACTGGCTCGGCCCCCATGGAGCGGAGCCGCTTCCTCGTGCACTTTGTCGACTTCATATTTGACGATCTCGGTCGCAACCAGCCGCCTGTGTACCCGGGTCTCAGCAACGTGTGGCGCAGCCTTGCACGCAGCAAGGTACGCGCACCTTGCTCCGCAACGTAGAGTGAAGGCAGACGTGCGCTTCACGTTTGACTGCTTGAGCCGCAACCAACCTGCATCCTTATCCTCTGGTTTCGAAGGGCTTCGATTAAATCTGGTGTGTGCTGAGGCGCATGGCATGGCATGAAACGCATCTCCTGCCTCCCCTCTCTGCCCACTCCCCACGTTCTGATCTCCTTGCCTCTCAGTCGAGAGGGTTCCGAGTGGGGCCGGTGTACGCAGAGGCGCTGCAGATGGCGTGGTTTGTGCTTCTCACTCTCACGTGCTTTTTGGTCCCCCCCCCCCCCTTCACCCTCCCTCCAACCACTCCCTGCTCCCTATGCCCCCCAGTCGAGAGGGTTCCGAGTGGGGCCGGTGTATGCAGAGGCGCTGCAGATGGCGTGGTTTGTGCTGGAGCTCATTGTTAAGTCCATGGACCTGGAGCTTGCTCAGGTGCCGCAAGGTGAGCTGCGGTACAGTGTGGTGAAATGGGATACTGCATGGTGAGGTAGCAGTTTTTATTGCTGTCTGCGCCACACTGCGCTGCAGATGGCATGGTTTGTGCTGGAGCTCATTGTCACCTGGAAATCGCCCAGGTGCCGCAAGGTGAGCTGCAATGTGATGCGGTGCAATAGGATACCATATGGTACGATGAGGTAGCAGGTTATTGTGCAGTGCAGCAAGCACTACAGGGAGCATGTCCTGCGTCCTCATGCACCTCCGCCCCGTTGAGGCTGGAGGACGATGTGTTTCTGTGCATTCGGCAGCTGTTTGAGTCTGTGCTGGCCGCCGTGCACGAGAATGCTGTTTCCAACTAACCCCCCTCGTCCATTTTCCCCCCTTCTCCACCCCCCCGCCCCCAACTCCTCCCTCTCCTCCCCCCATCCCCCGCGCATAACAACACCAGGGGATGAGATTGCACGCCTAAGGCAAGAAAACGAGGTGTTTCTGTGCATCCGGCAGCTCTTTGAGTGCGTGCTGGCCGGCCGAGGTGCATGAGAAAGCAGTTTCCAACTATCCCCTCTACCCATCCTCCACCATCTCTTCTCCCATTACCCCTGTCCTCCCCCGCGCATAACAACACCAGGGGACGAGATTGCGCGTCTAAGGCTAGAGGACGAGGTGTTTCTGTGCATCCGGCAGCTCTTTGAGTGCCTGCTGGCCGAGGTGCACGAAAAGGCAGTCTCCGACCCACCCCTCGCCAAGAGCCTCAGCTCCTCCATCTCCTTCTTCTGCTACGACCTCATCTCTGTCGTGGATCCGCCGCAAGTCTTTGAGCTGGTGAGCAGCCCTTCACCCCTTCCTCCACCCACCACTCCGCTACCCCCTTAAGAGTGAGTTTTTGAAATCAAATAAAGGACATCGTTATGGACCTCAAACCTGCACGTCAAACCTGCACCTCAAACCTGCACGTCAAACCTGCACGTCAAACCTGCACCTCAAACCTGCACCTCAAACCTGCACCTCAAACCTGCACCTCAAACTTGCACGTCAAACCTGCACCTCAAACCTGCACGTCAAACCTGCACCTCAAACCTGCACCTCAAACCTGCACCTCAAACCTGCACCTCAAACCTGCACCTCAAACCTGCACCTCAAACCTGCACCTCAAACCTGCACCTCAAACCTGCACATCAAACCTGCACCTCAAACCTGCACCTCAAACCTGCACCTCAAACCTGCACCTCAAACCTGCACCTCAAACCTGCACCTCAAACCTGCACCTCAAACCTGCACCTCAAACCTGCACATCAAACCTGCACCTCAAACCTGCACCTCAAACCTGCACCTCAAACCTGCACATCAAACCTGCACCTCAAACCTGCACCTCAAACCTGCACCTCAAACCTGGCAAGTTTTAACAAACTCGCAAGACATTTGACCTACCAGAAGGGGGGTTCAAATGGTCGAGATTGAACTTCGTTTTGTATTACCTGACATTTCGGCGCTAGATCCGTAGATATCCGGCATTTCATCGCGCTGATCTGGCACTATGGGTGGCCGGCAGGATGCTTCGAGTTTTGCTCGACTCGCTCGAGTTTTTCCAAGGAAACTCACGAGTTCAGAAAAACTCGACCATATGGTCGAGTTTCGAGAGGGGCTTGAGCCAAAAATAACTTGACGAGTTTTACTCGACTCGACTCAAAGCGAGTCGAATAAAACTCGACTCGTCATTTGCCCATGTATTCCTCCCTCCCCATCACAGGTCGTCCTCTTCTTCCTCTCGCAGTTCATGGGATTGTGTCCGCCCATGCAGCACATGTTCAAGCTGCACTTCCCTTCCTCCCTCTCCATCTTCCCCTTCCGTTGCCCTCGGCCTACCCTCATTCACTACAGGTGGGTCTGTTCCTCTCGCAGTTCGTTGGGGTGTGTCCGCCCATGCAGCACATGTTCAAGCTGCACTTCCTCCGCATCGTCTGCGACCATGACCTCTACATCGAGACGCCTGGCAGAGGCCCTACAGAGAAGTATGGCCTTACGGCTCTAGCGTTCAGGCTCAGGGTTCCGAGTTGAGGGGTCAGTATAATAGAGTCTAGGGTTCAGAGCACCGTCCTTCTGTGAGTCGCGATGCAAATGTTTGATTCTGCTGTTTCCCCTTGCTGCCCCCATGTTTCTCTCTGCGATATCCGCTTGCCTCTACTAAATTCTGCGCTTCCTTGAACCACCGCCATCACCGCTCATCACCGCTCTTGACCAGGAACTATCTGACAACAGTGCTGCTCAAGGACCTTTTTGTGAGCCTCGACCACGAGGACCCCAGTCAGCGATCGCTGGTATGTCCCTGCCTCTTTGTATATGTGTAGTTTTCTCTTTGCGTGCCTCCATGCATGCATGCATGAATGCGTGCTCTTCATTGCATGTGTCTTGAGGGATCATTTGTCTCTATATAATCCAACCCCCCCACCCCTTGGCACCAGGCTGCGCGCATGCTAGCCTTCCAGGTGGCGAAGCACGAGTACGATGCGCGGTACCAGCAGCCGGAGCTGAAGCTGTACATAGCGCAGCTCTACATGCCCATCGTCAACATGATCCTGGACGAGGTTGAAACCTTCCACACTCTAGGGGTCATTCAGAGGAGGCAGATCCTCGTGGTGATGCTCACAGTGGTGCGCAACTTAGATAATGAGACGCTGCTCAAGGCGTGGAAGCAGAGCGACGTGCGCACTCGCCTCTTCTTCACGCTCCTGCAGCAAGCCCTCGTGCTCTTCCAGGTGAATTCTCAGGTGCCGTGCCGCCTCAGGTGATTTCTTTCTTAGGTGCGGTTTCTGGTGCTGCTTCAGGTGATTGATTTGTGGCCTTGCAGCTGCTTTGCATTTGCTTCTCCTCCCATTCCTGCTATCACCTCATCCATCCCATCCCACCGCTCTCCACTCCACACTACTCCACTCACCCCACCTCCGTCCCTCCCCCTCCTCTTCCCCCTCCTTTCCCCCTTTCCCCTAATCACCCACAGCACCCGCCACAGCTGACAGCTGGCAGCAAGCCCCGCCCCACCGCCACCAAATCCAGCCCCGCCACGTCAGCACCCGCCGACGCCACGCTGGCAGTGGAGCCGCCACCAATCCCGATGTACTCGGACCGAGTCTCCCTGGCAACCAATGATCAGCTGGACGAGATGGCCCGGGCAGATCCCAAGGCCTTGCTGGAGAGGGAGCAGATAATCCGAAAGGTCACGGGCGGCGCCGTGTCGGGCGGCAAAGGGTCGGCGGTGTCATTAAGGGATGTGCTCGCCCGATCGAGAATACCGCCCAAAGATGCCATGGCTCTGATGAGACAAAACCTGCCGCCCAGCGCTTCTGGGAAGCTGGTGAGTTTGTTGGGAGGAGGGAGAGAGGGGTGGGGTCGGGTTAGGAGGAGGTCTGGGGGAAGGGAGTCTGTGATGTGAAGAAGCTATGTTCATCCATTCTGTGCCCTCCCATTCCTGTCTCATGCTCTCACTTCATCCGTCTTCTTTCCCTCCCACCAGCTGATATGGAAATCCAGTGAGGCAGCATGGTGTGGTGTGCGTGCAGGGGAGGTGGTGGAGAAGTTCCCCTTGTCCCATTCCCCCTTCCCCTGTTCCCTCATTCGCTCTCTCCCCTTCTGCCCCCTCCCATCCCCAGCTAACATGGGAATCGAGTGTAGCGGCATGGTGTGCGGTGCAGGTGCTGGAGGTGGTGGAGAAGTTCAGCGACATGGCTGCTGATGGACTTGTTGCTGCTGCATCAACTCACTCTCTTTTTTTCCCCTCTCCCATTCTCCTGTTCTCCGTTCCCGTTTTTCCCCTAAATGCGTATCCACTTGTCAGTTAACATGGGAAGCCAGCGTGGCGGCATGGTGTGCAGTGCAGGTGCTGGAGGTGGTGGAGAAGTTCAGCGACATGGCTGCTGATGGGCTCGTGGCCACCGACTATCAAACCATGGACTGCCTCACTGGCCCTCTCTCCGTCATGCTCGCGCTGCCCCAGGTGGGTAGAACGAGCACACAACCACACACACAAGCACACACACAAGCACACGTTATGCTCGAAAGAAATGCTCACGTGCGCCACCAACCACATGCCTCACCACCAACCACATGCCTCACCACCAACCACATGCCTCACCACCAACCACATGCCTCACCACCAACCACATGCCTCACCACCAACCGCATGCCTCACCACCAACCACATGCCTCACCACCAACCACATGCCTCACCACCAACCACATGCCTCACCACCAACCACATGCCTCACCACCAACCACATGCCTCACCACCAACCACATGCCTCACCACCAACCACATGCCTCACCACCAACCGCATGCCTCACCACCAACCACATGCCTCACCACCAACCGCATGCCTCACCACCAACCACATGCCTCACCACCAACCACATGCCTCACCACCAACCACATGCCTCACCACCAACCACATGCCTCACCACCAACCACATGCCTCACCACCAACCACATGCATGCCTCACCACCAACCGCATGCCTCACCACCAACCACATGCCTCACCACCAACCACATGCCTCACCACCAACCGCATGCCTCACCACCAACCACATGCCTCACCACCAACCACATGCCTCAACACCAACCGCATGCCTCACCACCAACCACATGCCTCACCACCAACCACTTGCCTCACCACCAACCACATGCCTCACCACCAACCACATGCCTCACCACCAACCACATGCCTCACCACCAACCACATGCCTCACCACCAACCACATGCCTCACCACCAACCACATGCCTCACCACCAACCACATGCCTCACCACCAACCGCATGCCTCACCACCAACCGCATGCCTCACCACCAACCGCATGCCTCACCACCAACCACATGCCTCACCACCAACCACATGCCTCACCACCAACCACATGCCTCACCACCAACCACATGCCTCACCACCAACCACATGCCTCACCACCAACCGCATGCCTCACCACCAACCACATGCCTCACCACCAACCGCATGCCTCACCACCAACCACATGCCTCACCACCAACCACATGCCTCACCACCAACCACATGCCTCACCACCAACCACATGCCTCACCACCAACCACATGCCTCACCACCAACGACATGCCTCACCACCAACCGCATGCCTCACCACCAACCGCATGCCTCACCACCACATGCCTCACCACCACATGCCTCACCACCAACCACATGCCTCACCACCAACCGCATGCCTCACCACCAACCACATGCCTCACCACCAACCACATGCCTCACCACCAACCGCATGCCTCACCACCAACCACATGCCTCACCACCAACCACATGCCTCACCACCAACCGCTTGCCTCACCACCAACCACATGCCTCACCACCAACCACATGCCTCACCACCAACCGCATGCCTCACCACCAACCACATGCCTCACCACCAACCACATGCCTCACCACCAACCACATGCCTCACCACCAACCACATGCCTCACCACCAACCACATGCCTCACCACCAACCACATGCCTCACCACCAACCACATGCCTCACCACCAACCGCATGCCTCACCACCAACCACATGCCTCACCACCAACCACATGCCTCACCACCAACCGCATGCCTCACCACAAACCACATGCCTCACCACCAACCACATGCCTCACCACCAACCACATGCCTCACCACCAACCGCATGCCTCACCACCAACCACATGCCTCACCACCAACCACATGCCTCACCACCAACCACATGCCTCACCACCAACCACATGCCTCACCACCAACCACATGCCTCACCACCAACCGCATGCCTCACCACCAACCACATGCCTCACCACCAACCACATGCCTCACCACCAACCGCATGCCTCACCACCAACCACATGCCTCACCACCAACCACATGCCTCACCACCAACCACATGCCTCACCACCAACCGCATGCCTCACCACCAACCGCATGCCTCACCACCAACCGCATGCCTCACCACCAACCACATGCCTCACCACCAACCGCATGCCTCACCACCAACCGCATGCCCACCACCAACCGCATGCCTCACCACCAACCGCATGCCTCACCACCAACCGCATGCCTCACCACCAACCACATGCCTCACCACCAACCGCATGCCTCACCACCAACCGCATGCCTCACCACCAACCGCATGCCTCACCACCAACCGCATGCCTCACCACCAACCACATGCCTCACCACCAACCACATGCCTCACCACCAACCGCATGCCTCACCACCAACCGCATGCCTCACCACCAACCGCATGCCTCACCACCAACCACATGCCTCACCACCAACCACATGCCTCACCACCAACCGCATGCCTCACCACCAACCGCATGCCTCACCACCAACCACATGCCTCACCACCAACCGCATGCCTCACCACCAACCGCATGCCTCACCACCAACCACATGCCTCACCACCAACCACATGCCTCACCACCAACCACATGCCTCACCACCAACCGCATGCCTCACCACCAACCGCATGCCTCACCACCAACCACATGCCTCACCACCAACCGCATGCCTCACCACCAACCGCATGCCTCACCACCAACCACATGCCTCACCACCAACCACATGCCTCACCACCAACCACATGCCTCACCACCAACCACATGCCTCACCACCAACCACATGCCTCACCACCAACCACATGCCTCACCACCAACCGCATGCCTCACCACCAACCACATGCCTCACCACCAACCGCATGCCTCACCACCAACCACATGCCTCACCACCAACCACATGCCTCACCACCAACCGCATGCCTCACCACCAACCACATGCCTCACCACCAACCACATGCCTCACCACCAACCGCATGCCTCACCACCAACCACATGCCTCACCACCAACCACATGCCTCACCACCAACCGCATGCCTCACCACCAACCACATGCCTCACCACCAACCACATGCCTCACCACCAACCACATGCCTCACCACCAACCACATGCCTCACCACCAACCACATGCCTCACCACCAACCACATGCCTCACCACCAACCACATGCCTCACCACCAACCACATGCCTCACCACCAACCACATGCCTCACCACCAACCACATGCCTCACCACCAACCACATGCCTCACCACCAACCACATGCCTCACCACCAACCACATGCCTCACCACCAACCACATGCCTCACCACCAACCACATGCCTCACCACCAACCGCATGCCTCACCACCAACCACATGCCTCACCACCAACCACATGCCTCACCACCAACCACATGCCTCACCACCAACCGCATGCCTCACCACCAACCACATGCCTCACCACCAACCACATGCCTCACCACCAACCGCATGCCTCACCACCAACCACATGCCTCACCACCAACCACATGCCTCACCACCAACCGCATGCCCCACCACCAACCACATGCCTCACCACCAACCGCATGCCTCACCACCAACCACATGCCTCACCACCAACCACATGCCTCACCACCAACCACATGCCTCACCACCAACCACATGCCTCACCACCAACCACATGCCTCACCACCAACCACATGCCTCACCACCAACCACATGCCTCACCACCAACCACATGCCTCACCACCAACCACATGCCTCACCACCAACCACATGCCTCACCACCAACCACATGCCTCACCACCAACCACATGCCTCACCACCAACCACATGCCTCACCACCAACCACATGCCTCACCACCAACCACATGCCTCACCACCGACCACATGCCTCACCACCAACCACATGCCTCACCACCAACCACATGCCTCACCACCGACTATCAGATCATGGACTGCCTCACTGGCCCGCTCTCCGTCATGCTCGCGCTGGCCCAGGTGGGTGTGCTTGTATTTCACCCACACACCCAAACACTGACTCATAATCACGCGCACTCACACATATATGCAGCCCCTTTTCACACACTCTACGCACATATGTATCCGCCTTTCCAACCCCCCTGCCCCTCTTGTCTTCCAGCCCATGAGCTTCTGGGAGCCCTTTGTGCCAGCCTTTGCCGAAATGCTTCGCCTCCATGGCAAGGCCATGCTCCACGGGCCGCCCTCTGCTGCCCTCTCGTGCCTCTCTGCCCCTCTGATATCGCCTCTTCCCTTCCCCCATCCGCCCGTCTCCCCCTCTCCTCCAGCCAATGAGCTTCTGGGAGCCCTTGGTGCCAGCCTTTGCTGAGATGCTGCGCCTGCACGGCAAGGCCATGCTGGACGGCCCGCCCTCTGCTGCCGCGGCGGACACTGCTGACAGTGCCGGGGCAGCAGCTAAGGGGGGCGACGTGTTGCTCAAGGGCCTCTTTGGCAGCCTGCTGAAGCAGATGGCCCTCCGCCCCGAGTTCATCAGGAAGAGAGCTCTGCTCTGCCTGCTGCTTCTCCTGCGCGTGCGTATTCCTGTGCCGGGTTTCTGATATGGCATAGTTGATTACTTTGTTGATGTACTTACAGCCCTCACTGCTGTGCCCTCTCCCTGCAACCATCCCTTCGTTTGTTTTCCTTCTACACCCAATCACCTCTCCCCATTCCTCCGCTGAACGCCCTGCATCCTCACCGTCACTCTTTATCCTCCCACACACAGAACGCCCTGCTGCACATGAAGGACGTGGAACGGGCGAGAGTCATCCTCACAGTCCCCCTCTCAGAGGTCCTATCCCACATGCGCCTCCTGCACGCACCCTCGCCCTCCACCGATCCCCCCTTTTGCCCAACCTCCCCTCCTCATTCTGTTTCTTCCCACTAACAGAACGCTCTGCTGCACATGAAGGACGTGGAGCGCCTCAGAGTCATCCTCACAGTCGCTCTCTCAGAAGTCCTCTCCCACATGCGCCTTCTGCACGCGCCCTCGCCCTCCCCCGCCCCCGCCTCTCGCTCCTCCAGCGCCTCTAGCATCGCTTCTGCTGCTGGCAGTGCGGGTGGGGGCGCTGGGGAACTGGTAGAGTCCGCAGAGGTTGAGAAGCTGAGGCTTTCGCTGGAAGAGCTTGGGACGGAGGATAAGTGGTTTCAGCTGCTGGACGAGTGCGGGTTACCGTCGATCTGCCTGGAGATTGTGGTGGAGGAGGATGAGGAGAAGGAGGAGGAGGAGGATGAGGAGGACGAGGAGGAGGAGTATGAGGAGTGGGATGAAGGGGGGAGTGTGATGGTGGGGAGGAGGAGGAAGAGGGAGAGGGACAGGTGGACGTGGTCGAATGTGGAGGAGACTCAGGACATGCTGCTCACAGTGGTGGATGCGGCATCACAGCACGAACAGCTGGTGAGCTTCGTTTCACAAGCAACTGGGTACTCTTTGTCTTTCATAAAGTCACCTCAATGAACATGGGCGAATGTGGAGGAGACTCAGGACATGCTGCTCACGGTGGTGGATGCAGCGTCTCAGCACGAGCAACTGGTGAGTCTTGAATTCTGGTTCAAATCTGAAGTCATCTTTTTGCACCAGTAGTGAAGTCAGGACATGCTGCTTACTGTGGTGGACGCCGCATCACAGCATGAGCAATTGGTAGGTCTTGTTTTTTGCCCACCTTGCACGGTTGCTGATGTTGCATGGTTGCCCACCTTGCATGGTTGCCTATGTTGCATGGTTGCCCATGTTGCATGGTTGCCCATGTTGCATGGTTGCCCATGTTGCACTGCTGTTCAAATGGGCACTTGCCTGATCGCAAGGCCTTCCCATCGTTCTCCCTTGACCCCGTTATGCCCTCCCTTGTCACTGGCAGATGGAGGGGCTGAAGACGTCCAACGACAAGTACGCCATAGTTGAGAGTTACTACATCCTCGCGCAGGCGTACGGGCACGTGCCCGATCTGTACATCATGTGGATGCTGCACCTGTGCGACGCGCACCAGGAGATGAACCAGTGGGCCGAGGCCGCTCAGTGTGCTGTCTCTGTGGCCGGCATTGTGATCCGGGTAAGGCCTAGGGCGAAGGGTTGCTGCTGCCGAGGTTGAGAGATGAGTGGTTGCTGCCCGATCTGTACATCAATCATGTGGATGCTGCACCTGTGCGACGCGCACCAGGAGATGAACCAGTGGGCCGAGGCCGCCCAATGCGCCCAATGCGCCCAATGCGCTGTGTGTGTGGCTGGGATCGTCATTCGGGTAAGTGCACCCGTGGCCTAAGGTTTGCTGCCTACCAGGGATGAGGGTTCAGAGGTCAGGGTTTCACAGTTGCGTGAAGTCAGGGTTTGATGAGTGTTTGCTGTTGAAGGTGACGGTGCTCGAGATTATTACCACCTTTCACTTTTCCTTTCCCCTGTTGCTCCTCCTCCCATCCTGTCGTCAGTTCAGGGTCTGCAAATCGCGTCGGAGGAGCCAGTGTGGGACGAGGAGCATCTGGAGGTGCTCTGGAGCATCTGCCCCTCTGGCCCGCCACCAGTGGCACTCACACTCACACCAATACTCCTCCTCTCGCTCCTCCCATCTCGTCCTTCCAGGGGTTGCAAATCGCGTCGGAGGAACCAGTGTGGGACGAGGAGCTTCTGGAAGTACTCTGGAGCATCTGCCCCTTGGCCTGCCACCAGTGGCAGTGCCGCTCACACCAATACTCCTCCTCTCGCCCCTCCCTTCTCGTCCTTCCAGGGGTTGCAAATAGCGTCGGAGGAACCAGTGTGGGACGAGGAGCACCTGGAAGTGCTGTGGAGCATCTGCCCCTTGGCCCGTCACCAGTGGCGCGCGCGGGCCTTCTCCTCCCAGTCAGGCTTCGGGGCGGCGCGGGTGACGGTGGAGGGGGCGGTGCAGCACGTGCAGCGGGCGAGCAACCTGTTCTACAAGGCGGAGCTCTTCCACTTCTGCGCTCTCATGCTCTCCCTGCTGCTGCCGCTCCACCGCACCCGCCACGACTACAAGCAGGTATGGATGTGTTTTGGTTTGATTTGGATAGGGGTTGAGTCTGTGCCACTCTCAGTGCAGGGTAATTCTCAACTTGGACTTCGGAACGATGAGCCCTTAGTTGCACCTTGACTCCTGCCATCCTTGCCTCACTCCTCCCCCTCCCCACCCCCTCTCCCTTGCCTTGGTCAGCTGACCAAGACGCACAACAAGATCGCGTCCATCTATGAGAACGTGGAGCAGCAGGAGACGAGCCCCATCCCCTTCAAGGACGCCTGCTACTATCGAGTCGGCTTTTATGGGGAACGATTCCGATACATCGATGGCAGGTGAGTGGTTCGACGACACATGCAGGGCCGGTCACTGGTCACAGGTCACAGGTCACAGGTCACTGGTCACTGGTCCTTGCCCTGCTCTCACTCTTGGGTTAGTCACTTCTTTCTCTCATCAATCTCTCCTCTCCTTGACATGGAGAGAGCTCAAGGTGCTAAAGGGGCTCAAGGTGCTCTAACATGCGGTCTCACGTGATAAGGATCCGCCTTCACTATACGCCTATTCCTGTCCCCTTCCCTGCTCCCGCTTTCTCACTCTCCCCATCCCTCCTCTCTCCTTCCCCACTATAGGCAGTTCATATACCGAGAGTCACGAGACGTGCGGCTGGGGGACATAATGGAGAAGCTCAAAGCACTTTATGATGCACGCTCACCCGACGAGGAGCCTCTTCAAATCATCCAGGACTCGCGCCAAGTGCACCCCGCCTCCCTCAAGCCGAGGGTCCACCTTTTCATACCTGCACGCCCCCATGCCCATCCCTCTCCCTACTCTTCCTGCACTGCTGTCCCCGTCCCTCGTTTCCCCCACTGCAGGGAGTTCATATACCGAGAGCCAAGGGATGTGCGGCTGGGAGACATCATGGAGAAGCTCAAAGCACTCTACGATGCCCGCTCGCCCGACGAGGAGCCCTTGCAGATCATACAGGACTCCCGCCAGGTGGACCCTGCCGCCCTCAAGCCGAACCTCGTCTACATGCAGATCACCGCCGTCGAACCTGTGGTAGGTGCGGGGGAGGATCGGTGGCTCGGCAGACCTCTCGAGCCTCCGATTGCCGGGACTCCAACGTTCAGTTGTTTCTTTTTTGACACGCCGTTTACCCCGAACGGGAAGCAGCAGGGTCGGATGGAGGATCAGTGGAAGAGAAGGACGCTGCTGTACACGCAGAGCACGCTCCCGAGCCTGATTAGCCGGCAGCCGGTGGTTCGGTCGGAGGTTCGGGAGTACTCCCCGATCCAGTGCGCTGTGGAGATTATCGAGTCTCGGTCGTTTGCACTAGAAGCCGAAATGGCCAGCCAGTTGGGGGATTCTGGGGCGGCAGGGGCGGCGGGAGGCCCAGCTGGAAAGAAGGATCCGGCAGCGGTTGTAGCTGCAGCAATGGCAGCAGGGTCGGGGCCGCTACAGCTGCCGCGGTTGCAAACGCTGCAGCGGTTACTGCAGGGGAGTGTGGCTCTACAGGTGAACAGTGGTGTGCTGGGAGTGTGCATGGCGTTTTACCAGGCGAATCCGCAGGGGGCTAATCCAAGAGCCAAGGATCCAGAGAAATTGCAGCCGTCGGAACTTGAGATGTTGACGTCTGCTATTGTGCGGTTTGTGGTGGTGTGTAAGCGGGCGGTGGTGGTGCATGGGAGGGCGGTGACTGAAGAGGATAGGGATTTCCAGGAGCAGTTGGAACAGAGCTTAGAAGACCTGGAGAAGGAGATTTCAGCTTTCATTCCAGGGCTAAGGAAACGAGCATCGGCTTACTAAGATCGAGTATTTATTTTGTCATGTGTGTTGCCTAACACGTTAGTGATGGTGCTCTGCTAGTGATGAGCATCTGCTAGTGAATAGTGCATCATTGTTGCCGCTAGGCTTGGCCGCTCCTTTAGGCAATACTGCTGAGTTAGTCCATTCATCCTCAACAATGACAAGTATGGTAGCACTAAATCGTTTTAGCCTAATATCGTGTGGTGTAAACCATGCAGCAATTGCATGTGGAATACTCTCTAAAGATGTAAACCATGGGGGTATTCCAGTGTACTAGCATACTGGTGGTGGACCACGAAGATATTTTGCTTTTCAACACATGTTATCCGCGCAGAGCACTTCACCAGACTCGAGATTCCACAGCCCCGTCAGCACATACCTATTTAACCGAACCTAACACCCGGATTCGCTGGTGCATTTCGATAAGACTTAGAACTCGTTACAGGCCGTTTCGACGGGTGCGCTATACGAACCACCAACTGCACAGCAATGATATTTTCACCTCCAATTGTGGAGCCATTCTTGCTCAGCAGCGGCGAGCAGCTGAAGCTGATTCTCCCTCGCCCTTGTGCCAATATAACCTCGAGCTCGTGCTAGTTCTGTTCGCTTTTCGTCCAGCACTTTCGCTGCTCGGACTTGCATAACTTGTTTTCGGTGCTTCTGCTGCCTTCCGTTTCCTGCTGAAGGCTCGAAGCAGCGATTCTTATCAACCGCGTGACGATCTACTCACTCAGTTAATCTCTGACAACCATTCGCGATGGCTTTTCTTCGGGGGATCGGCAACGTGCTGAGGAGATCAGTCACACAAGGCAGCGCCAATGACGCGCTCGCCGCGTTCCACGCGCCGCAGCCGCACTTATCGCTGCTCCCCGCCGCCATGACGCAAGCCGTCCGGTTCATGTCCGGCAACAAGCTCTTCATCGGTGGTGCGTTACCGCTTTCGCCACCACTTTCGTTCTTACTTTCGTCGCCCACTGGTCCATCCGTTTTTTAGATCTGATAAACCTACCGTGGTACGGATGTCTTTTCTGGAAATGAGGCACGCCGTCCGATGCTCGTGGGGAACACGCTAATTATCGAAGGCGCGTTCCTCGCTTCCTGTTTCCGTCTCCGACTCCGTTATACCGTTGCCACGTGGATCCGTTGAAGCCCACGCCATTCTTTAGAGTATAGATCTGTCGCATGTCCAGATCCAGGGATGACTCGAGGTCACTTTTGAGTCGACTCAAAAGTCACCTCGAGCCTAGATCTGTCGCATGCACAGATCCAGCAATGATTCGCGTGGCAGACGGCGATAGCTATGTTCGTCGCGTATCAGATCCGGCAGGAGAGAGCTTTCTTGCCGGCAGTGAACCACGCGGGTCTCTCACGCCTCTTCCCTGCCGTCACGCTTAGGATGCAATGATGTTTGATTTTTTTAACACCACTGATTGGACATGTGCGTGCATTTGTGACATATTGGTCTCTTTACCCCAACGCGTGTGTCTCTCGTTCCATCCGTGCGATCGGTTGAGCAGGGCTCGCATGGGAGGCCGACGAGAAGGCCTTGGCGGATGTTTTCTCTGCCTACGGAACCGTCGAGGAAGGTGCGCCCGCTCTCTCCGCTGCATTTCCGCCGTCCTCCCTCCGCACCCCGCTCTCCGCCCGCCGCGCTCTGCTTTCCGCTTTCGGCGAACCCCCCTCCGCCATCCACCATACTCTATGAGCCGCCTGTGACCCCAGCTCTCTTTGTGCAAATCATTCACCTTCTGTTACCAAGATCACCGCTTATACCTCTCCCCCGTCCCCCGTCCCCTTTCCCTAAACGTACATCCTTCCTCGCCCTCGCCCATCGCCCAGCATTGACTTTCCTTTTCGCTTTCAGCTCTCGTTTCGCTTGCGCGGCTTTTTGCTTGTTTTGATTTTAATTCAAAAACTCCTGCCTCCCAATTTCTCGTCCTTCCGTTTCCATTCCGTGTCCGTCCGTTCCCGTCTCCCGTCGTTTCCCTCCTTCAACTTCCAGCCAAGGTGATCAGGGATCGGTTCACGGGTCGGTCGCGCGGGTTCGGGTTCGTGAGCTTCGCGTCGGACGAGGAGGCTGCTAGCGCTTTGGAAGGCGTCAACGGCAAGGTGAGGGGGAGGAGATTTTACACGAGGGTGGGTGGGTGGGGGCAAGGTGACGGGGAGGGCTTAACGGCAAGGTGAGTATCTGGGCTTTAGGGGCAAGGGGTCAGATCAAGGTTAGCCATTTTCGGCAGAGAGTAGATTCACCAGTCTCAAAGAGGTTAGGGTGATCAGGAATCAAGGTGCGCGAAGGTACCATTTATATAAAAATCAGGGTTTGTGACGTAAGCCTCGTCGCAACTTTCACGCAAGCCCCGATATCCACTCTCCATGTCTTTTTGCCGCCATTTTCACTTGGCGTGGGAGATCAGTCTGGTTTATTGATCATCAACAAGATATCCACCGTCCGTAACCTTTACCCCCCTAACACCCACACCCCAACCCCCACACCCAAACCCCTCACACTCTCTCCTCTCCCACACTCTCTGCCCCCGTCTCAGACCCTCTTCTCACAACCACTTTGCACTCCTTGTCCCCCGCCATGCCGTGTAGCAGCTGAGTAGAAGGACAAGGACAGTGCACGTTGATTATGCCCCCTGGAGAGATGGAGAGGCCTAAACCCTTCCTTACCACACACACACTCACACACACTCACTCACTCCCACACTCACACTCGCCCATTTATCCTGTCACCTAACCCTTGCAGGAGCTGAGTGGAAGGACAGTGCGCATTGACTATGCCTCCAGCAGTACAGAGAGAGCAAGGGATGGATAAACTCCTCCTCACACATCCTCACACACTCCCTTCACCCCCCTTGTTGTCGCCCAACCCCTGCAGGAGCTGAGTGGAAGGACAGTGCGCGTTGATTATGCCTCCAACAGGACAGAGGGCGGAGGAGGAGGAGGGGGAGGCCGCAGGGGGGGATACGGTGGTGGGGGATACGGCGGTGGTGGAGGGCGGTACAGTGGTGGCGGTGGCGGCGGTGGGTATGGGGGAGGAGGGGGTGGGTACGGTGGTGGAAGGTATGGGGAGGGAGCGGGTTACCCTGGTGGCGGTGGGTCCCAAGGCGGATACGAGCAATAGAGGGGATAGAGTGTATTCTCCAAAAGGCTTGTTTCTTGGTCTTAATTAGCCTTGACGCTGCTCTAGTTTGCCTACTAGCCTCCATCTGGATTGTCCTAGTAATTCAGAGTTATTTTTACCCCCCTCTTTCTTTTGTACTCTTCCTGATGTTGGCTTGTGGAGACTAACGTAATCCTTTTAGAGAAATCTAATATATACAGCTCATGGCTATCTGCTATTTCAAATATACAATGACTGGAAAGGTTTGCAGTAAATGGCCACGTACTATAAGGCGTACGAATTCACAGATTTGGTGCTTCGGATACGGGCTGCAATTTTGAGGAGCTTGTTGGTGTGGTTCATGTTCAGTCATGCCCGTACTTCTCGCCGCGCCGCCGACTCTATCTCAAGGACTCTCTCAAGGATACCGCTACCATCCCATACCCCGTCCCCACTCCTCCTCCTCATCGCGCCACCACTTTCGCCTCCCTTTGTCGTCGGTCCCCCCCCGTTTCATTAACGCGAGTTCTCCCTTCCTGCGACGCCGCACGCGTCGCATGGCGTGCGACGATTCGCGTCGCAGCGCGGAGTCGCCCGCCGTCGCAGCGGCCGCGGCGGGCGAGGGAGCGGCGAAGCAGGGCGGGGAGCAGCGGCGTCAGAAGCTATGGGAGATGTACGACCGGATGAGGGACAAGCTCTTTACCGACGTAAGCTGTTTATATATATACGGTAACCTTTGAGCCGGTTCATACGGATAAGCTATGGGGTGGGATGTACGATCGGATAAGGGAGAAGCTGTGCGAAGACGTAAGCGTTGAGCTGGATGATACGGATGATGCTGAACCTGTGCGATGCACGGGGCAACTTGTCTCCCTGCGCCGCGCGCCTGAGATGGGCGTGCCTGGGCTGCACCAGATGGGCGTGCCTGGGCTGCACCAGATGGGCGTGCCTGGGCTGCACCAGATGGGCGTGCCTGGGCTGCACCAGATGGGCGTGCCTGGGCTGCACCAGCCGCTGCAGCCGCCCTCTCACAGGCTCACTTGCATGATAGAATTTGGGTTTTGAGCCGTCTCAAAATCTCACAGGCTCACCAACAGCTTCCCTTTCCCCTTTTCCCTTTCCCCTTTCCCTCCCTTTCCGCCAGGTGCCCGAGATGGACGTGACTGAGTTGCACCAGCTGCTGCTGGCGCAGCAGGCAGCGGGTGGGGGAGAGGGATTGGGGACGAACGGGGAGGCGGATGGGGGAGTGGGGAGAGGGGAAGTTGGGGAAGGGGGCTTGAGAGGCGAGGCAGGAGGAGGGGAAGCAGCAGTGGGAGGGGGAGAGAGTGGGCGGGGTGGGCGGCGGGTAGTGGTGGTGGACACACGTACAGAGGAGGAATCAGCAGTGTCGATGATTCCGGGCGGCACACTGAAGCAGAGCGACTTTGAGCGGCAGATGGGACGATTCAGCGATCACCAAGTCGTGTGCTACTGGTGAGAAGGTGGGATGCAGAGGGGTGCAGAGGGGTGCAGAGGAATGCAGGGGGTTTCAGGGTGGTCCACAGGTGCTTGGGGGGAGTGGGGGTGGTAAGAGTAGAAGGAGGTGTGAGAGGTAAGGGGCGATATGGAGCAGGGAGCAACAGGTAATTCTTCACGGCATGCACCACGGCATGCACTCAGTCCTCCTCCATCACCACAGCGTGCACACAGCCAACCTTAGGAGCTCCATTCACCCTTTCACTAACTTTGCCCCGCTTCCAATACACCTCTTCCTGCCCCTCTCCCCCTCGCAGCACCATAGGCTATCGCAGCGGCAACTATGCTCGCATGCTGCACTCGCACCACAGCATGCACGCAGCCAACCTCAAGGGTTCCATCCTCGCGTGGACCCACCACCGCCTCCCCCTCACCTCCCTCTACCACCCTCAAACCGGCTCTGGCCCGCTCCCCATCCTTTCCCACGCCAACACAAGTGCCAACACCAGCACCGCACATGAGTCAACCTCCCAGCACGATTCAACTGCTGCGTGTGGAGCTGGAGCAAGAGGAAAGGGAGCAACGGGCTCTGGTGCTGCCACTGATCTGCCAGTGCTGCCCTTGGGATTGGGCGCCACCACGCGCGTGCATGTGTACTCACCCAAGTACGAGCTGCACGCAGATGGGTACCAGCCGGTGAGTGTTGTCACTCGTGAGATGCTTTGACAGGCAGATGGGCAGTGCTGCCCTTGGGATTTGGAGCAACCACACGGGTGCATGTGTACTCGCCCAAGTATGAGCTGCACACAGATGGGTACCAGCCGGTGAGTTGACATATTGGCACACATTACAGCTTGTTTTCTTTGTGGAAAAACATAATGCATTTCTGCGAGTGTGGTGACAAATATCCAAGGTCTGATCATTGTTGTCTTTCATGCAGGTGCACTTCGCAAGTGGTGTGCCGTGGGTGTCTGCCGTTTGGAGTGACATCAGTCTGAGGTTGCCCAAGTGGGTTCGTTCCTTTACCAATCCTACTGATCCACCTCCAAATAACTAAGACGTGCATTGGCAGGTAAGGCACATGGTCCAGTTTTGCGCCAGTGGTGATGTGGCATTTGCTGCGATTCATGCTATTTCCTGGAATGAAAATGAAGCGAAATCGTGTTTTTTTTCGGCGACACGTATGCGGGCGAGGTGAGGAAGGTCGTGCTCGCGTCAGGCGCCGCGGTCAGCGTGCACGCTGACAGAGGCGGAGAGTGAGCGCCGCTGTCACCGTGCACGGCGCGCAAGCAGTCGCCTTGGCGCGCCTGCTGCAGCTGCCGCTCCCCCACTCTCCCCCCGCTCCCTCTCCGCCTCCCCCTCACAACCGCCCAGAGCAGCAGCGGGGTCACGGTGGAGCAGCAGGGGAAGGGGAAGGGCGGAATGGGAACGGGGGGCGGTGGTGGTGGTGGTCCCTCTGACGGTCTGCCCCGCATGTTCTGAGGGACCAGCGCTGGTAAAGGCCAGTGCTTCTGCTGGCCGGGTGGTTCCCATTCCTCGGCACCTGGGTGGAACTGCGCGTGGGGGGCGTCGGCCAGCCCATGCTGCCATGGCGCTCATTAACGAGACTGCTTCAAACGAGGATGGAAGATCAGGAGAAGCAGAAAAGGCGAGGGGAGAGGAGGAAGCAAGGATGGAGAAGGTGGATAAGAGCAGCGACAGAAAGAGGAGAGGAGAGGCGGGTGGGAGGGAGAAGGGCGAGCAGGAGTCAGTTGGCATGACACGCCAGCAGTGGGAGTTGGTAGCGCAGGTGGATGGCAGTGGTCGGCTGGTTCCCGTGCATGTGAGACGAGTGGGGTCGGTGGGGCCATCCATTGTTGTTGTAGCTCCGCATGTGCTCTCCCCCAACACCACTGCCTCCCTGCCCAACCTGCCCACCACCACCACTACCAACAAGAAAGGTTACATTTTGGGGGTGACCCGTTGTGGAAGGACTAGTTACTTCTGATTGTGCATTGTGAGTAAATGCCCTTCCGAATGTGTTTGAAAAAGCCTCACTAATGCATGCAAGGCAAGACCAGGAACTCAGGGCAGGGTGGCCTCAGCAGAGAGCCAATGCTCAAAGCTCTGTTGTTCACTAGTCAGGCTGGGGCCCGGGAGTCTTTAGAAAACATTAGGGAGGCCAATACCATATGCCGCGGCTGGGATAGGTGGGTGGCAGCAGGGCCAAAAATTGGTTTCGGGGCACCCTGCCATATCAGGGTCCCCTTGGCCCCTTTGCCTGACAGTCAGGGTGAAAAAAAAATCGCCCAGTGCTAATCAGTGTGTTTTGGCCAGTATTCTGTCTTTGTAAGGGTATTTATGGAACCACCCTGAATGCAAGAGCAAAATCCAAATGCCGCTACCTCATACTTGTGGTGTTGTGTGTTTTGTAGAGCTGACAGTGCGAACGTGACTGCTGGGGCCAGTTTTGTAACCAATCTCGATCGAGTGGCCACACGGGCTGGCAGTATGGCAGTATCGTCATTCATGGCTGGAGCTGCTCTGCATGGCAATCAAGGAGATGTCGCCACCACAAGCAACACCACCACCAGCAGCACTTGCGGTACAGCTCCTGTTGTTCCTGTTGCTGCTGTTCCTTCTGTGAGGCCACAAGTTGCAGTGTGTCCCGTATGTTTGGCTAATTCACCTCAACCGCAATATATCACGAGTGAGTGACTGAGCAAATGCAGGGATTTTTATAAAAATCGAAATGACAACGAACAGAACAGATACCAAAAAAAAATCCAACAAGGCAATCAGCCTCACTTGTGGGGAAGAGTTTGCTGGGGCTGCTTTTGAGTTTTGCAATACCGTAAAACTATGGACGATAGGTGATACCGGTAGCATAATTTCATTGCCATTTGGTTATGCCTAGAGAAGTCTCTAACATCTTGATGTGATGGATGAGTTACTATCAATGACAAATTGAGAATTTCCTATACTCTCGACTTGAACATCCTATATTGATTCTTTTCAAAACTTGAGAGAGTTGTGTTGTAAGAACTTTATGCGGACAACAATGTGTTCCTCAAACGAAGATCCTTTCCATCCTGATCTCGAGCTGACTGACCCCAGAACAGTCCGCGGGTTGGTTGCTGGAAGACAGGCAGGGCGGAGAAATTTGTTCTCGATTTTTGCTGCTGTGAGCCTTCGTCTTTCACCTAATCTCCAGCTAACTTTTCACACACCACACGCAGCGTGATTTCTGCTAGAAGCCGTCAATCTTAGCACATTCATACGAAAATCATGTCATTTCAGGCATAGGAACGGGCAAGACCGAGGGCGTAGTTTTTTTTTCCCGAAGAACGTCAACTTTGCCAAGTGTACGCCTGGCTGTCAGGTCGCCGACCATTCGTTCATTCTACTCTAATGTCTCACCCGTAAAAAATGCACGTCCTTGTGAATGTTAATGGAAGCGTGTTAAGCTGGCTGGAAGACTTCACAAGGCAGCTTCCTCACTGCTAAAGAAGCTTCTTCACTGCTAAAGAATTGAATCGGCTATACTGGTGCTTGTACTCCTTTTCTAAATCCCATTTTGCTTTCCCGTCAGTCAGTTTTTTCATTGCTTCATGTGCACGCAGGTGGATATGAGGATGCACAGGTTTAAGCTTGGTTTCCAGTCACCCGTTCACACGGTGAGAATGACATTTCTTTTACACCTAGGATGTCGACACTCCTCTTGACGCTTATTTTCCGTGCAGAGACCATATATGGCTGTAATAATGGGAATGCTTAAGTATATTACGAGTCACGTTCATCATGAGGTCGCCTTTCATTGACGCTTCAGATGAGGTCATTTTTGTTGACCCTGGATACCCGCTAATAAGTCGTCATATCAACCAATCTGGAGTCCACCATTTTAAGCAATAATATCAATAAGTTCCGAGCCATCCGGATCACCTTCAGCTGGCCAGGCTCTCATCACAGACAGTAAGTTCCCCGTCCAGTACTTGTCTGCTGTCAGCACCAGGCACATTTATGAGATGAGAGTGATCGATTTTGTCTTGACTAATCTAAAGCACTTAAGAGACTAACGGCACTTCGGTTTTTCTTTTCAGGGGCTTTTATTGATTGGGTTCTGGATGCAAACCGCACGCACATCATTACACTTCATAGACTAAGGATGAAGCTTTCTACCAGTGTGCTAAACACTGTCTCATCCTACATGCTACCCTTGGATTCAGTGACATTTTTTACTGGACTCAATGGCATAGAGTTGAAACTGGTACCGGTAGCAGCAACCATACCAGCATTTATCTAACCCATTAACACGGTACATGCAGGGTTCGTCAGCTTGTCACTCGAAGTGGATGTACCATTTAAGTTCCAATCCAAATCAGTAATGGAATCCACCAATCTGCACCAGCTCTACATTAAAGGTGATATTATTTTCACCTAAAAGCTCGTTGTCTTCATAATGACATGATCGTCATAGAGATGGAGTACGCTCAATATATTGGTTTGAAGTTCTTTGAGAAGATGTTGAACTCCATTTTGTTTTGTCAGGTTTTATAACTGTTCACAAGCAACAAGCAGAATGGAGCGCTATAGAACCGCGACTTACCACTACGAACCTAATCGAACAAAAAAGGGACCTGAGATTCGTCTGTCTGCTTGAGAGGTTTTAATGACTTCCCAACCAAGCTTCCTCAACCCATTTCTTGATCGTTCTCCCGCTACCCTGGAAAGTGACTGCTGACCCATTTCTTGATCGTAAGCCATGGTAGTTCAATTCCACATCATAGTTACAGATCTTCTCAATCATAAAAAACTTCGTCTGTTGACAGATCCCCATTCAATATGTTGAAGATTATGCACTTATCTGGCGTCGTTCTATGGCTCCTCGTTCGCCGACTGTTCCTGAAGCTCCAGATGCTGCAAATGACAGTATTCAGTTTCTACTGAGATGGTCTATCTTGGGAGCCCCAGGCAGCACGCATCTGTCGTCCCTTGTGCTGGCGCATCTACACGCGACGGAATGCTGAAGAGTGTTAAAAACGACTGACGGGGAGGACCAGTTGCTACATGCGTGGACCGCTGAAGCTGTGAAGGTCGACGGGGACCAGTGGAGAGGTGAGACGGCAGCGACGCGAACCGCTTCGTCTCAAACGAACGACGGCGTAGTATTCCCAGCCTCTCGCAGACCGGAGATGTCTCACAATGGTCACTGCAGCAGGCGCGACGTGTAACGATTCCGCCACGGCGCTCACTCGCCTGACGTTGCAAGTGCAGCTCTTCCGACATCCCTGCATACGTTTCTGACTTGTTTATGCGGCGAGCCGTGCGTACGTGCAGCACCCTGTGGGTTTGGCGTTGGCTCTGTTCATTGGCAACGATGCGGAGTGTTGGCGTTCATGACCGCCATGGCCTGCGCGCGACCATGCCTGCCGTCTGCGCGCGACCATGCCTGCCGTCTGCACGCGACCATGGCAGCGACCTGCAGGCGACTGGCGACTGCTGCTGGCGCCATCGCTGGAGTCTTCCGCTTTGGACGCTGGTTCGAGAATTGGACGCGACTTTGGAGGATCGACGCGCTTGCACTGAGGATCGGCGAATGCCGGCTTACTTCTAAAAGCGCCGAGCAGCGTACGACTTACAACGGATCCCTGCCACAGCTAACTTCCCCTTCGTAAGCGTCCTTATCCTCCCACCTAACACCCACCTTGGTGATAGCCCCCATGACTCTGTTTCGTTGCTGCTGCACGTTTTTCACTTGCTACTTGTGTGGTGCATGGCGTTGTTGCCTCATGACGGCAGTGAGCTCATGTGGAGTGAAGGGGGTTGCTATGCATTCAGACCATTTGCGCGTCACTCTCTTCCCCACTCACCCCTCGCTGCCTCGCTAATGTAGTGCCGTGGGCCATGCGCTCCCGTCCCCACACATTCCAACCACCCGCAGTCTTGTGTTACCACTCACTCACACTTGTTCTGCTCGTTGTCCTCTCTGTTCGCACGTCCTTGTTGCTCCTGCTGCACGTTGGCTCTACTCTTGCTTCCTCGCTGCCCTCCATTGCATCGCCATGCGCCAGCGCCGTGTCTGCGCATCCCTTTCCCTCAAGGCGTGTGGAGTGCGGCCCTCTGGCGTGGCAATGACTGCAGAGGCTGGAGGCGACAGTGGTGCCCCGAGATAGCAGGGAGGACAGCGGGCGCCTCTCCCTCACAGCCCCCAGAGCAGCGGCGCCTCTCCTTCACAGCCCCCAGAACAGCGGCGCCTCTCCCTCACAACCCCCCAGAGTGGCAGCGCCTCTCCCTCACAGCCCCCAGAGCAGCAGCGCCTCTGCCTCTCAGCTCCCAGAGCAGCGGCGCCTCTCCCTCATAGCCCCCAGAGCGGCTGCGCCTCTCCCTCACAGCCCCCAGAGCGGCGGCGCCTCTCCCTCATAGCCCCCAGAGCGGCGGCGCCTCTCCCTCACAGGCCCCAGAGCAGCGGCGCCTCCTCCTCACATCCCCTCAGAGCGGCGGCGCCTCTTCCTCACAGCCCCTCAGAGCAGCGCCGCCTCCTCCTCACAGCCCCCCAGAGCAGCGGCGGCTCCTCCTCACAGCCCCCCAGAGCAGCGGCGCCTCCTCCTCACAGTCCCCCAGAGCAGCGGCGCCTCCCCCTCACAGCCCCCCAGAGCAGCGGCGCCTCTCCCTCACAGCCCCCCAGAGCAGCGGCGCCTCCTCCTCACAGCCCCCCAGAGCAGCGGCGGCTCCTCCTCACAGCCCCCCAGAGCAGCGGCGCCTCCTCCTCACAGTCCCCCAGAGCAGCGGCGCCTCCCCCTCACAGCCCCCCAGAGCAGCGGCGCCTCTCCCTCACAGCCCCCCAGAGCAGCGGCGCCTCCTCCTCACAGCCCCCCAGAGCAGCGGCGCCTCCTCCTCACAGCCCCCCAGAGCAGCGGCGCCTCCTCCTCACAGCCCCCCAGAGCAGCGGCGCCTCCTCCTCACAGCCCCCCAGAGCAGTGGCGGCCCCTCCTCACAGCCCCCCAGAGCAGCGGCGCCTCCTCCTCACAGCCCCCCAGAGCAGCGGCGCCTCCTCCTCACAGCCCCCCAGAGCAGCGGCGCCTCCTCCTCACAGCCCCCCAGAGCAGTGGCGCCCCCTCCTCACAGCCCCCCAGAGCAGCGGCGCCTCCTCCTCACAGCCCCCCAGAGCAGCGGCGCCTCCTCCTCACAGCCCCTCAGAGCAGCGGCGCCTCCTCCTCACAGCCCCTCAGAGCAGCGGCGCCTCCTCCTCACAGCCCCCCAGAGCAGTGGCGCCCTCTCCTCACAGCCCCCCAGAGCA